ATGTCGTTGTTATCGTCAACGGCTGAGGGAGGACGTTTCTCAATAATATTATTATTAAAAAAAAAATTACCTATATTTGATTTAAAAATTACTATATTTACAAATTTTCTTTCGAGGAACACGACGGTGTTGGCTACGCGCAGTACCATTTTTTGAAGAACAAAAGTCATCATCATCTTAATCAGAAAAAACAACTTTTTCACAAAATTTAAAAAAAAATGTACATATTGCTTAAGCATAAGGTTTGGTTTATAATATCACTGTTAATATAATACATTATTGGCTTTTAGTTACCAGTTGGCAGTTACCACAGTAGTTGCGCGTACTTGGAAATTGAAACAATCTTACCGAAACTGAGTAAAATGTTTTAAATCTTTTTGTATTATAACATATTAAGAAAATTCATTTACGATATAACATATATTATTTAGAAAATTAAAAACGAATTTTTACCAGTGTAAGCGTATGTGCCGCACCATATGGGATTTTCTTTGCAAACCACCGAACAAACGCCACATTGGCTTCTCACCAGTGTGCACGCATTTGTGTTATATCGGAGTGGCTTTATGAGTGGCAAAAGTACTTTTCTCGTAAAGCCACTCCGGTTTGGCACTAGTCACATTCGTAGGGCTTCACACCAATGTGCACGCGTTTGTGTTGTGTTGGAGTGGCTTAATGACAGAAGCACTTTTGGCACTAGTCACATTGGTAGGGCATATCGCCAGTATGAAGTTGGTCGTGGAAACGTCCGTGTGCTTTTATTGGCGTACCCACCTTGTCACTAGATCTCTTAAGACTGAAACAAGTGACACTTGTCAATATCGATAAAAACAATTGTAAAGGACAATATCATGTGTTTTAAACTAAATTTGTAGTTTCATGGAGATACGATTAGGGTTGATTGTCTGTCCCTTTCTATCATTGTTAACTAACAATGTAATGAATCTATTTTTTCTGGTAGCCGTTGACTAAATTCAATTAGTATGCGTGTAAATGATATGTATGTGTATAAAAACACATTGCTGCCGAAAACAAAACCAAAAATTTATAGTATTATTGGGCATATTTTAGCCAAAAAAAAACGGAATGTATAAAAAAGTATATTGACAAGGCCAGGGACTAAAATCAATGTGTTTTAAACTTAGCATGTACAAATCAATTATGGTACAAAATGAATTTCCAACAAGATAAAGTAGGTATAGTGTATTAAAATTTGTATGATAAATTTTAAAACAAAATGATCCATCGAAATCATAATACATTTTTCACGATAGTATCTAATAGTCAAATTTGGGATTATAAAAAAGTTTGCTAACTTTCTAAAATGTTTTAAAAAAAAAAAGATTTTTTGACTCGCTGATAACGAGTTACATGGCACATGTGATCAGTATTGAGAAAATTAAATTTAAATAAAAAAAGGACGAATAAAATAAAATGATAACAATACATTTTTAAAGAACGATAAAAAAATAATTTTGCGTTTGTTATTCAAAAAGAAAATATTAATCTCTATTTACAAACACTAATTTAATTAAATACCTACTTATGTTATTTGATTAATATATTATGTAATTAAATTATTCACATTCAAAACTGCAACAAAAATTTTGAACGTTTCATTAAATACATACTTATTTTTACTAAATACCTACCGCATGCAATTCTCTTAAATGTTATTATTTTTTTTACACATGTTGTAGTTATGTGTAGACCTATCTTCAGAAGTGTTCGTTAAGTCTTTAATGCAAACAAAATACCTAATAAATTTAAATTTCCTTTTTTTTAAATACACAAATACTATTTGAGCTAATAATTCATTTGTTGGAATTTATCTAACACCTAAAGTGAATTTTTTTCTGAAGTCTTAGTTCTGTATTCGCAAGAACGGAGAGTCGAAACATAATTAGGTAAGTGCCAAGAATCAATTTTTCAAGACAGCTGTTCTATAAATATAATTAGACTTCAGTATCTGTGCGGGTGCAAACAAACAATTTTAAAACATTGTATTGAAACGCTTTACAAAACACATAATAATCAATAGTATTTAAAAAAAAAAACCTAAATACTCTAATGTTAATAATATATTTAACTATACATAGTGTTGTTTAATATAGTTGTGTCCAAAACACAAAGGATGCCTTTCCACATTTCATTTGACACTTAACCTTATAATGTCGCAATTTTAACGTTATCCCCTTCTGTCCTAATACAATAATAGTTCTTGATATTGTGACGAAAACAAAATTATTAGATGAGATTAAGATTTTATGCATACTATCTCATGTGCTTCTTAGTACGGAGATAATACAGGATGCCTTACAGCAGTAGAACAGTTTTAGGTATCGGAACTTGAAGTACAGATTTCCAATTTAGTCTTGTAAATTTCTACCTCAACAAAAAAAAAATTACACAAATTTTTTTAAAAATTCCACATGATTTCGCCCCACGACCAGAATACTGTTTTAATTTTTACATATTTTAGGCACGTTTCGACGTAAGATATTAATTATAGTATTAAACATAAAACTTATGGACTTGGTTCAACTCAATGTCGCTCATTCTAGTACCAACTAATTTTTTTTATGTTTTTCTTGATAATGGAAAATCGCGCGATGTGATACGTTTGACTATTAGGCAGAAAATTATTTAACACACTATCACACAACATGTACCTAACCCTTAAAAAATATTAAAATATAAAAGTGGAAAAAAGTAAACCGATAAAAATGTTTTCCACGTCAATAACCGATACGGAAAGTATTTGTGTTATACTATCGGGCACCCTGTACACTCGCACGCACAAATACTTGTGTGTGTATGATATGTATGTAATATAAATGCATACTTAGAGTCTCATTCAAGACATACCTCAATGCTATCACAAACTTTCAAAACACCCAGACGTGTATGTTCATGTTCGTTTACCAAACACAAGTAGGTAAATATAACACCAAAAACTCATCTTCAGTCTCTGATCATAATACTTTATTTATTTTTTAGACCATCCAAGATGATTCCATTTGTTGGTTTCACGCTTGTCGTGTTATTTGTAAGTATAAAATCCTAGCAATTTTTACTATACTTGATAATAATATCAATACATTTTAATAATAAAAAAATTAAAATACTAGAATTTTTCAACAGTTCAAGTCATGGATACGTTTTATATTTTTAAATATCTATCTTGTTATTTCATTTTTTTCTAAATGAAAAATATTGCGCAATAAAATGAATATGACATTATACGTGTATCTAATTATACTTTAAGGTACGGTAGTAATTTTCAATTCAAAAATCAAAGCAAAACTAGTTGAAACAAAATTTTTTTCCTTCGTTTTATTTTTGTTTTTAATAATAATAATAAAGATATTCCCTAAACCTTTTAATATATTTTTGGTATCATTTTTAGCTACCTACATTTTCAATTTACGAATACCAACTTAAACTATAAATTATAATGTTTAATTATATTATAATATTATATTATATTACACCATACTATCATATATATATATATATAATAGTAGAAATTAATTCTACTTTCATAAAAAGCCATTTTTATATATTTTTTAGAATAAACTATAAACTAATTCATCAAGTTTTACTTCAAAACTAGGTATTTAAAAATTTTATCGCGTATGAAATGATATAACACTAGCGACATCTAGTTGTTAACGCAAGTCAGACAAAACATAACGCAGATGTTTTCTTTATGATGATAAGAAAAATAAATACATGATATACATATTATTTTACTCCAAAATAGATAAATTGTAATAAGTCAGATTGTTTTTTCTTTTTTTTTAAAGGAGGGAACTAGGAAGAGAGAGGCTAAAATATATATGATTTGATATCAAGTTAATTTAAAAAATACCTACACGATGTGTATAAAACAAAATATGTTTGACGGCTAACCGCTAAGGAGCCAAGTTCTCTCAATGCATAATGATATATCCGTTAAACGACAACTTTATTATTATTATTTGGAGTATAAAATTATTTATACGCGCGAACAACATATTATAGTAGTTAACTGCTGTAGTTAAAGTAGCATGACATCTAAACGTATCATTTTTTCTTTAAAATGGTTGGACATACATTCCTCATAAAACTAAATAAGTGTACATTAATGCCTTTTATAAAATATCATTATTGCGCTACTGTCTCCTTTTCCTTTAAAAAACAACATTCTACATCCTCAACCTCAACAGTTGACCAACATTTCATAATACTATTATTGACAAATAATGTAATGTGGAACTTGGGCCTTTCCTCCCCCTCCCCCAACAATATGTTGACATATTTGTTATTCTCAATTCTCACCTACTATATAGCATGCAGCTGTATCATTATTGATTTGCACCGTTAACATGGTATTTACATTTATTAGTAGTTATTTAATAACAACCGTTATTTTACTGTGTTACATTTTAATCACAGTAGCGGCTGATCACAGTGATCAACATTGTTCAGTCGGTTACAGCACTACTGAAATAAAATCAATATCTTTTTGCTTTGCTTTGCATCGAATCTACACGGTACACCCTTCACCGGTGCACCAAAAATTATTAGAAGTTAGAACCCCAATGAAATTTGTCGCGCCCTTTTCACGGATTAACAGTGTGACCATTTCGGCCGCCGAGCCGACGACGTCCGCGGCCGCATTGTCCGCGAACCGGCATTCCGTGGAATTTTCGAACGGCCCAAAATGTGTTAATTCGAATTTTCCGTAATAACGTCATCCAGTGATTTGTGTCGAACGGCGTTTAGGTATATTTTAGGCGGGTGCGGAAGGACCCGGGCCGTTGACGAAATTTGTCGACGTTGCCTGATCGACGAGGACGCCGACCGCGTCCTACCCGTGCGTAGCGCCCACAGCCGGCCGCCGACGGCAACGTCGCATTACCGTTTTCTCGCCATCGCCCCGCGCCGTACTCGCCGGGCGCTTTACCTTCTATCGTTGGTGTTGGTCCCGCCACTCGCCTCTCGTCCTATACTCCTATCGCCGCGCTGCACACAAGTCACAACACTGCGCGGTGTACACTACTTACTATAGCACACACACATAGACAACGATTCCATTTCGTCACCGTCGTACGGCAATACGTTGTTGTACTAGTACGCCGACACTATTTTTGAGTACTTACTGTCGATTTCAATATTATACATTCTATTCTATTTTTTTTTTAATAATTTAACCAACTCTCTTAAACATGTCGGACATTTCCAAGGAAACTCTGAAGAAAGAAATCGCAGGTAATTATTATTTGTATACAATGAAATATTCTGATGGTGTAACGTTCGAATTTCGCGTAAGCCGCTTGCCGTCTTCGATTTGGCCGCGTCCACAAACTAATGCCCGTCCGTTGTGGCGGGTTTTCGCCTTTCGCATCGTGTACTTTACGTTTAAAGTCGGTTCGACCGTAACGCCGTTGTCGCCACCATGCTCTGGCGCGGGCGACCGGCATTTTATCGGCTGGCGCGCCGCGTCCCGCTGAATTGGTACGCAAATGGCGTCGTTAGTAACGGCCATAGTGTGGGCCGTTTGTAATTATTTTCTTCCACCATATTGACCGGTTTACGCGGTTTTGGTGGTCGTTCATTTTTCCCTAATTATTTTGGGCCCGTCCGGTTTCTGTGTTTTCCACAAGTAGATACAGCATAATATTTATTATTATGACGTCCGTTCGCGCGTTTCCAATCCCGCCGGTTAGATGGCACTGTCGGTCATTGTAAACATCAATTGTACCGTTCGACGAAGCGTCCTTTTGAAATGAACCCACCTCGATTGTTATGATTATTTTTTCGCATTAATTTCAACCAAGCCCTCGAGTTGTATAAAACATTTGTCATGCTATATTTTTTCCGACTTGGAAAAAAGTAATATTCAATAATTGCATAATATTTTGGTTACTCGATGTGTAAATTTTCATGATCACCTTTGTCTACGCGCACGGCTCACATACAATATGAATAGCCATGTAATTTTGTATAGGTACAATGTTGGAAATTATAATAATCAAAGGACATAAAACTATAATGGAGGAGGGTTTACAGTTTTTCCTAGACAAAACTCTACAGTTACCAGCTCTACAGACTTATTCTCACCAAATTCACACACTTATTAGACCTCATTGGAGTCTTGTATTGGCATCGTTTTTTAGGCCATCCACCGAAAATGAAATAATAAATAAATATGGATAAAAAATATGTTTAATTATTACTTACAAAAAAAGTTTTGTTAAAAGAATTATCAGAATGTCATTATTATCAATTTATTTCTATGGAGAGTAAAGGTTTCTATAATTGAATAGTGTCCGTAGGTGTAAAGTTTATAGATTAATTAAATTTACCATATTGACGACAATATCTCTAATACTTAAAAAGACAATCAAATAAGTAACTTATACAATATTTTAATGTTTGATGACAATTTGATAATTTCATTTTATTACGTTTTCATGTGTACTTTGAATAAATTTAAATGTTTAAAGTAAAGTGGTAAAATTAAATTGGATCAGTTCACAAACTCGCTTACCTATAAAATAAAAACATATTATATAAGTGCCTTAACTATAATTAATGTTTAGTTAAATAAAACAAACTTACAATTTTTGTTGTAAATCATTACTTACTTTTAGTTCTTAATTTTGCAAATCAATTTATAAAAAAATGTAATCCTAATTTCCGTAATAATTTTTCAGTATTGATAATTTGCTTTACAATTAATAAATAATATGTATGCTTAACATATTTATCTTTAGGACTTAACATTTATTTATCATAATTTAATTTTAGAGATAAGAAGTTTTTAACATTAATAATAGTTTAAAAAATAATACATTTGTGTTTGATTAGAATCTACAAAATATAAGTCGTTAGATAGTATTCAATATTATATATTGAATAAATGTTTAGGAATTAGGAAAAGTGGAGCATAACATTTTTTATCTTAGTGTACCTACCTGTAATGCAATTTCACTTGTTATAATACATTTTTTTTTTTAGCACTTTTAAAAAGTGCCGATTTAACCAAAACATCTGCAAAGAAAATCCGTCAAGAACTTGAAAAGAAATTGGATGCTGATCTTGATGACAGGTACCTTCATAAAACAAACTAAAATTGTTAGTTAAAAATAAAATAACTTTGTCTTTACAGAAAGAAAGAAATAGACGTACTAGTAATGGATGCTATTAAGAAAGCTAAAGCTAACAAGAAAAACGGCAAAGGCGATAGTGATGATGAAAACGATGAGGATGAAGAAGCTGAGGACGAAGAAGATGAAGACGAAGAAGAGGAAGAAGAAGTAAAACCAGCCAAAAAAGCTGCCCCTCCTAAGCGCAAGAAGAGAGATACCAGTGAAGAAAGTGGTGGATCTGACGATGTAAGGAAATACATTTTTAATAATAATTTTTATGTACATGCCAGATATTACCATTCTCCTGTTTTTCTTAAATATACATCTGAGGAACTTTCCCGTCTGCCCCATTCTTTAGTTGAATATTTGTTCAATGATTTTATTTCATTGAACTTTCCTAACTCGTTACTTATTTTCTACGAAATGCTATGTAATCATAAGTGCCCTACAGTTTATTATTTCCCTTGACCAATGCAATGTCCTTATTACTTCTGATTCGCAATCCTGTCTTCTAGCTATTTCTTCTAATCCTTTCAATTCCTCACTTCCTCCTCTTGTTCTTGTTATCAAATCCCTAGTCTATTGGCTTACCCTATATATATATCCTAGTGTAGTCGTAAAGTTCCTCAGAGTTCTAAGTCATATGGTAAATAAAGGTTAAAATTGCATTCACTATTCACATTTTAAAATACCTTTTTCTGACCTTCTTTCTAAGCAGCATTCACTGCATCATGCATGACAAATCAAATGGTCCTCTCTCTCCCACCTAGTTATGCTTCCTAAGTATATATTTCCTACAATGCAATTCACCCGTAGCTCTAAGGTCTTGACATCTTCCGAATTCCTATAGTTGCCATCACTCGGTTACGAACTGGTCACAATTTTTTCCCTCAATTCTTCCCTCTTTGTCACTTGCACCAGACTGAAGAAATTAATAATTGTCATTTAAGATAAAATGCATTAAAAAAAAAAAAATTTATTTTATTTCTACAATATTTTTAATAGGATGACGGTGACAAAAATGATGGTGATTATAGTCCGAAAAAAGGAGCAGCCAAAAAGAAGGCACCAGCTGGTAAACGAGGTCGCAAGAAGAAGGATGATAGTGACAGTGACGACGACTGGAAGACTGCCAAAAAAGCCGCTAAGAAAGTATGTAAATGAATGTTAAAAAAAAAAAAATATTTGTATCCAATACAAGAAAATATTTAATAATAAATATTTCCAGAGTGGTGCTAAACGAGGTAATAGCGCTTACACTAAAGCAATTAAATTGAGTCCTGAACTTTCTTCTCTGATGGGAGCTGAAGCTCTTCCACGTCACGAAGTCGTTAAGAAAATCTGGGCTATCATCAAAGAAAAAAATCTCTATGTAAGTTAATTAATTTGACTGCTGCTGCTCCACTTTAGGAGTAGAAATTAATGTATTTATATTTTGAATGTTTCAGGATCCTTCTAACAAGCAGTACGCTATTTGCGATGATGATTTAATGAAGGTCATCGGAGTTAAACGTTTTAGGACATTTGGTATGATGAAATATTTAAAAACTCATTTTATACCTTAATTTTTTTTTTTTTTACCTTCTTACTAGACAAAAAAAAACAAACAATTTTTTACTGGAATGATTATTCCCCTCCTCTACCCATAATTTCTTTTATCTTATAATTATGACACCCTTTATGTTTCTTCATGTATTTGTGGAAATTCATGCTAATTTTTTTTTTTTTATGGTAAGATAATTTGTTGACTCGAGTATTATAATAATTTTCCATTCCTAAAAAAAAAATATATATATATGTATATGTAATAATAAAACGGTATAGGCATAACTCAAATGTTTATTGTGTGAAATTATAATTGTTTCATACTCTCCGCATTTGTTAGCTATTAATTTCTAGCTCTATGGATCTTTGAATGTAAAATTGTATTTGTAAACAATTATATTTACAAACATTTTTGTGTTTTAGAGTACTTTACAATAATTTTAAGACAACAATTTACATTATAAATGCAATTATAATTAAACTAAATACTTTAATGTATCATTGTTATTTGTTTTTCATCCTTGAACTTGTGCATCCAATTTTTACTCGGCAGTACAATCCTGGACGAGTACGCTAGGTCGTCTGTATCATCGTACATGGCCGTTCCGTAGGGTTTTGTGTTTGTACTTTTTTCTTTCATTGTGTTCACTCCAACGTCTGTACACGAAACTGTCTGCACCTGAACTGTATCTTGAGTCTGTACGCTACGGGTGGTCATTTCTGCTATGCTAATCTATATTACAAGACAAACTATGTATAATCTGATCTGGACACCTATCGTGAACCTGACTTACTAGTTTTGGCGCCCGACGGTTTTGACATATTTCTGGTTTTCCCAGAGGGAAACTTTGTACAATGGTCATGTCGTACTGCACTTGGGCATTTTTGTACTTGGCAGTGCGATAATTGTAATGCATCCTGTAAAATTATACTGTCTTGGGTACACCATTTTTTCCAAATCCTTTTGGTAAATTTTTACTTAACTGTTCTGCAGTCGTGTAAGGTAAATTTACTACTTGTTCGTACATATGAAAAAATAACAATAAATGTGTCTGTGATCTCAGCAAATTAACAAAACAGTTTTTGTAACTTAAAAAAAAAAAAAATTGCAAATTTTAGGGTTGGTTTGATAATTTTTTGTTAACTCAATTTACTGCTCTGGTTTGGTGCCGAAGTGAAGTGCCGCTTGGATACAAGTAAATCCGAATAATTCGTCGCAGTAATTTATAAAACCTATTCGTCGGTCGTGTTTCATCAGTGTGCCGTCCGTTTCCACCAGCATTACTATACAGTATCCGTCGGCCTGTTAACCCATAAAAATAACAACGTTGGTATGGACATTGTCAGGAGGTGCTAATTTATAATGATATTAAACTGTGTATTGGCGTACAAATAAGCTTGTCCTGTCCACGTTCGATGACGGTGGATACCACGTACACATTGGGTGCAAAGAGTGTTTTTCCACCATTTCCCGTTGGCGTTGTTCGCCAACAACGGGGAACAATTCATTGACAACCGATTGGCTTGATTCGGTTACATTTAGTCTAGCCGTCTAAACAAAAATGTTCAACAGGACTAATAGTATTCATATTTATACATAATTTGTGTTATAACAAGTCGCTTTTTACGTTAAAACAAACATGTTGATACCGTTAGATACACTTCCAGTAAGTTACTCGTGATTGAAAAACGTAGGTAATTACAAATATTTAAATTAAAAAAAAAAAATTCATTTTGTTTTAACCATGGAAGCTTTTTTTGCTGGTAAATATTAACTAAGTGAGAAATAAATATTTAGAAAATTTTGATGTGCAATTTGCAAAATCATCAAATGTGGTACAGTATTTAATCATTTTTTAGTTTTTACTCAACACAGTTTTATAAAACCAGGCTCCGAGTTCCTATTTGTCGGATTTAAAATTTAGAAGTCTTGATGTGTAAAACACAATTTGTTTTTTTTTTAATTTTTATTAATTACGAAATCTATAAACAATTAGGTCACTTTAAAAATGATCAATGTTACCAGAAACAATTTCAGTTAAGTTGAATTATCTACCTGGAATGGAATTCATTTCTTTTCAGTTTTTATAAAGATTATTTAACTTTAAATAAAAAGCGGCCCATTTGAATGGCGGTAATAAATAGCGATTTGTAAGCTGTTTTATTAAGGATACATGACCTACCTACCTTATCGTTTATTTTACGTGCTAAGCATTTCATGGTCATAATAATGTTGGTCGTGACACTTAAATAGTTCATCGTTGCGATCATCTCGTCCCATACCTTGGATACCGCCATTAATTCGGTCTGAAATCAATGGAGCTCGTGAGATTAAATGAAATGAAAAGATTCTCTTGCGTTTACCTTTATATTAAACTTGGACAAGTCCGTCCCCATAGTCGTAGCGTTCTTCATATTAGTGTTTATTTTCTCCATAGTCGCGTTGTATTCGTTTATCAACGCCGGCAATTGCTCTTGGCACCTGACTAAATCCGATTCGATAATTCTGGAAACCATTGTTAAAACGGTTGAGATCAAAGTTGGCAATAAATAGTTTATTCGAAAATATCGATTTCATTGGGCTTATGCGCATATCCCAAAAACGTAACTGGTTGTGCTTTTTATTGCCAACTCTAGATTTACATGCGCACTTACTTTAAACCGGTAGCGTATTGATGGTAAAACGCCAAAATCATTTTGTACTTTAAAAGATCCGCATTGCCGACGGTCGTTAGGCTAGTTCTGACGCTAAACAGCGGAGCTAGAGTGTCGTCGTCCACCCTGTAGCATTGTCTTATACGACTTGTCAATGTCGCTATAGCTTTGCCGCAATCGCTCTGATCTAAGTGCCGCAGAAGTAAATCTACCGCTTTTGGTAACGTCTCGACCACTAAAATTAGCGAAAGAAAAAATACCATCAAATAGCTAAATATTTCCCGTTCAAATCAGAATTGGCAAAAATACCCGATGGGTTCTTTGGTATTAATTGGGGAAAAAAATTAGGCTTTATTCGGTTTATTGACATTCCCAAAAAAAAAAAAACAACTGGGTTGGTCGTTAGACCTTAATTTTTTTAAATACCCCGGGTTTTATTGCCAACTTTGTTCGTTCTAAGAAAATCGTATGTACAATCCAGTATTCCTTCTTTGCTGGCTTTCCGATCCGATTCGTATAGTCTGATGCCGCACACCATTCTTGTAAGTTCGTTTAATTTGTATTGTTTCGCCGTAGTTGGCAAGTTTTCAAAATTCCGTACGTCGCTTTGTTTAAAGACAATATTTAGTGCGTCTGGTTTGGACAAACAAAAATTGGCGTTGTTGATAAAACTATTATGTCAAGACGAATGGCATTTTACAGACCAGACGATATTACAAATGAGTCAAATTAGTCAAAAAATATAACTACCTAAATGGTTTTGTCGTGTTACAAGCATGTAAAAAGTTGATTCAAACAAAAAATATATAAGTATCTATTCGTGTTTTTTTTGCCCAGACGGCAGTCGATATCATTAACAGCAAAGGGTTGGATAACGTTTCGGGCAAAACTTAGGTACTCTCCAGACTCTACTAAACATTTTTTTTAGTTAAAGAGTAGGTAATGTGTGGATTTTATTCGGACCCACGATGAACATTATGTTTTTTTAGACTTTCTAGTCGTATAACTCCTAGAATATATATATATATATATATGCCTTATTGCCTATGTACCTGCAGTTTCCTTAATGCACGACGGCGAAACTGGATTTCCCATGTAGTTGACCAATATGATGTACTGTACTATCCTGCGGTAAAAGGCGCCGGCTTCGTCTTCTGTCGTGCAAACGGATTGCACGATTTCTTCGATTAAAGGTTTAATCCGTTGCTCGCTATCAGTGTGCACGGTGCTGACCACGTGTTCTGTAAAATACATACTGTATGCTAAAAATATATTGCCGGAAGATTTTCAAAGGCTGCCCTGTTTGATACCCACCCCTGCTTTTGTATGTGTCGTAGACAAGTAAATACGCTTTTATACACATGACGCCCGTATCGTCGAGATCGCATAGGCGGTCCACGCATTGGTCCACGAACCGTACCACTTTGTTGTCGGTCGGTTTTTGGTTTAAGCTGGTGTTCACGTGAGGGTTCAATAACGTGCCGTTGTACTGCAAGTATAGTTAAACAACAATAATGCGAATACGAGTTGTAGCGACTAGCAATGATCTATTTTGTAAAAATGTAACGCCACTCGTGACTTGTGAACGTTACAATAGGTGATAAAAATACTTCCTTCTTAGCTTTCAAGCCTACGTCTCACAAAGGTCTTAAGAAGGTGTTCGGAAGAAAAAATTAATTGATGTGAGTAAATTAGGTGAATTTAATACCTACTTTATTATGTACCTAATAAATATCTGGGTGTATACTTTATAAAAATGGGCTGAAAGTAAAATTGAAATTAATTCAGTCGACAGTTAGAACAATATATTGAAATGCCTATTTGAGTGTACTAAAATAACGTGAACAACAATGATATTGCCATTAACAGTGTTTAAAATAAAGAGTAAGTTAGAGCTTTTTTGGCAAAAATGTAGGTACTTGGGTGTCTATAACACCGGGGACACTCACGACGATGGAAGCCAATTGTTCGGAGACTTGTACGCCGCGTCCGGCACATTGATTGACCACAGCCCGAATGTTCTCTTCTTCTTTTGGTGACATGTCTTCTACTCTTTGGATTAGCAATATGTTCTATCGTTGTGTAAATACGATCTACACGAAATAAAAATGATTGTTACAGTCGAAAGGGGCGTTGATAAAGTATTGTATTTAAGAGACACAGACCATCATCTCCATAGCAACACAACGTTGACTGTATACAAAAATCAAAATAAAACCCTCGTACACAAAATGGAAAATCGATAGTCTATTAGTGTGTACTGTGAATGTAATCTTACCTTTAGGAAAACGTCACTTGGAGTACTGGTAACTGCATGCACAGTAATCCGCGGTTTAGCACAAGACTGAACGTATAATATACTATGGTGAGTAGGAAAACTATCCTAAGGACTTGTCGTTATGACGACGTTGACAGTGTTTCGGTACGATAATCACATTGTTGTCACTTGTCTGCCATCGAACAGGGGCTGTTGTCCATGCTCAAGAGGTTAAGATCGTCGCCAGACAAGGAGCTTCGGATTCTGCTGCTAGGACTAGATAACGCTGGCAAAACGACACTGATGAAAAAGCTCGCTTCGGAAGACGTGTCGCACATCACACCCACTCAAGGGTTCAACATTAAGTCTGTGCAAGCGGACGGCATGAAGTTAAACGTGTGGGACATAGGAGGCCAGAGGAAAATAAGACCTTATTGGCGAAACTATTTCGAATTCACTGACATATTGGTGAGTTTTTATTATATCTTGGTAACGTAAGAATAATAATTATTTTTCAAAAATGTTTTTCACCCAAACCTTGTACCAGATTGTATCCTAGTCTAAACCGACCAATATCAGTTGGCAACAATTTCCAGGGAATCATCAATTTTGTTCGAGCACAAAAAATGTTTTTTGTTTACTCAAAAATATGGGTTTTCACAATTGGCAATAATGCGTGGGTTTTTTTTTACAAAAAGCCCGAATTAGTTCAGGTTTTAGAGTATCTATAATCCAATAAAACTCTTATTTTTGGGTAAATGCCAACAATTTACTGGGCTTGAAAAAACAGTAGGTTTTTTTGGATTGGAGTTTGCCTACTTAATGGGATTTTGTAGTTTGTACCTATTCTCAAAAACCTATTCTCTGGTTAGGACTTATTTTAAACAATACAATGTTTGTATTGTACTTGTAACAATACTTTGTTTAAGTACTCCGTAATTAGCATTATAGGTGGTCGTTTTAGTGGCCAAGTTACATTCTACCAAACTATGCAAAGAGATTCCTTGTAAGTTATAAATTTGTTTTCACATTTTCCGAGGTTTATAACTTTGGATAAACTCTAGATAAATTCTCCATCTTTAATGTTGTAAAAATTTAATTTTATGGGAAAACTGTCCTGTTTTAGTTTTTCAGTTTCTTAGAAATAAGCGACATGCATAACAAAATAAAATACACTTTTCTATTTAAGCTAAATGAGCTTGAATTTAAGGCATAATTTTTAAATATATTTAACGAGCCATATTAAAATAAGTGGGTTTTAAGTTAATCACTAAATGTTACTATACAATTTTTTTAAATAAAATTAATTAATTTCAGAATAATATAGGTAAAATTAATATTATTTTCTGTTTTAAAGAGGGTTTTATTCTAAGAATTATTCTTTCTAGTTTTATTCTTAGAAGAATTTTATTTAATGAAGGGTATTTTCATGTTCAATAGAAATAGGCACAATCCATATTTTTTTTTTTTTTTGTTCAAAAGGACAGTCTGGGGTATAAGTGATTACACATTTTTACTTAAAAATAATTTTATAATTAGTTTAAAGATTCACATAGGTTTTTAAAAATCTAAAAAAATATTAAATAATTAGTTTTAAAAAAAAAATTTTACTTATAAATTTGTGTATCACCGGAAAAATATTGATTTTATATCCTTATGTCCTTTACTTCTTTCTCACTAACACCGTCCAAATATCAATTAGATATACAAATTAGCATAATTTATACAAAAATGGGTTTGTGTTCCATGTACAGATTTATGTAGTGGACAGCGCGGATAGAAAACGTGTGGACGAGACAGGGTTCGAGCTTAACGAGTTGCTCAACGACGACAAGTTATCAGGTGTGCCCGTTTTGGTTTATGCTAACAAACAAGATTTAGCTTTGGCTGCCAAAGCGTCGGAGATAGCTCAAGAGTTGAACTTGCACCTGATACGAGACCGGCCGTGGCAAATACAAGCTTGTTCAGGAATCCGAGGCGAAGGAATAAAAGTGAGTAATTCGAGAAAAAAAAATGAACTTTTACTGCTAATATTCCACGTCTATTATTATTAGTATTATCTACTTATGATTGTATTTCAGGAGGGTTTGGAATGGATCAGTCAGAATGTCAAGAAGAAGTAGCGAATAAACACTATTATCATACTAATATTATTACTGTGTACACGCGCCTACTATTATATAGTATTTGTATTATTAATATGTTTTCAACGATGTATAAAACAAAAATTAGATCTTAAATGTAGTTTAAATTGTTACCATTATATTATATTCTTCTAAAGTCTGACCAGATTTCAATGGATGAAATAGTATAATTTAATAAGAAATAAGAATATATAATAAAATAAATACATACATAATATTGTGAATTGATATACAAATAGATGACTATTGATTTAAACGGATTTTTTAAAGTATAATATTGGACCTTTAACTAAAATAATATAATTTAAATTGAGTCTCAGTATAGTAGGTATGATCAAAACCATATTTTACAAGTTTTGATCTTAATTTGGTGGAAGCTGTTGTGGCTATCGTCACTATTCTCGTCTTAGTGAAATTGATTTAAAGTTTAAACGATATTTTTTTTTTTAATGATATTGCTTAACTTCGATGAGAATTATTATTTTTTTTTTTTTAAACGATCTAAATAAAATATATAATCAATATTCGGATCGTACAAAATTGTCCGCGTTCTGCAAACTACATTTTCCTTTGACAGTACAAAGTGCCCGCCGTTTTGCAATAAAAACTATGGATCGTTAAAGTAACCGTTTACGATTAAAACCATGTGAGGTCATGCATTTACAATTGCATTCAATTGTTTTTCACATACAATGTATGACTGTTTTAGTGAGATAGCTTTTTGCTATAAATGAAACAATTTACAATTTTTTTAAATGTGTACTTTATTTCAATTTATTTTACTGTCTATGTTGAAAAATTTACAATATTGCGTTTACAGGAATGAGGCAGAAAAACACGTGGTTAGAGAAATGTTATTAGCTATGGCATTACATTAGTATTTAGTCAATGACTATTGATAGAGATGCAGGCGAGACGCGGGGTGTAATAGAAGCGGCGATGGGCCGGGATAACAACACTTTCCCCAATGGACAGTTTCTTACCAGTTATTTTTAATTGAACATAAAGACTGTATCTTCCTTCTCGACTGTAGTCTGCAAACCTAAAATATTTTTGGGTTATTCTATGGGTAAACGGGACGAGCGAGTGTCAACACTCGGTAATCTGCCGTCCGTATCAGTACAAATTCCGCTTTTTGATAAGAAAATCGTCAATTGGTAATTTGGGAAAAGTGTATCTATTCGTCCTATCATTAAGTACCAAAATATTGTTATCAAAACCGTATATTCCTATGCTGCAGCCGTCTGCGGTCTGTATGCAGTTTACACGTGAGATTAAAGGTATTTGATTATTATACTACTTATTAGATCTCTGCGTGGATTTTAATATCAATTTTTACATTAATTCTCGGAATTCTATAATCTCAATCTCGAGTCCTCTGAATTTCAAATAAAAAAAAATCGTATCTAATGTCGATGCGTTTGGCTATTCTGGGAGACGTTTAACTAGGTGTTGGTTTGTAATGTGGAAAAAATGCCTGAAAACTTACGGTTCGCCGGAACACATCAAATCATATCTATTCGACCCCTCGTTTACGTCGTCGATAAAATGGATTGTTATGGCCATCGAATTTGTGTTAAATATTTACGTTATTCAAACAGTCAGATACACCGAAATCGACTGGAAAGCATACATGCAAGAAGTAGAAGGCGTTGTGGTCAACGGTACATTTGATTACGGCGAACTCAAAGGCGATACAGGTCCGCTAGTTTACCCAGCTGGGTTTGTTTATATATTCTCGGTGCTATATTATTTAACCGGTTACGGTAAGAATATTGTGACAGGTCAGTACATATTCATGGCTTTCTATTTAATAAACATTTACTTGGTGTTCAAAATTCACGAACGCAGCAAAAAAGTGCCTCCTTTTGTGATAGTATTACAGTGTTTCTCTTCATATCGTATTCATTCTATTTATGTGTTGCGTCTATTTAACGATCCCATTGCAGTTATCCTATTATACTTATCAGTTTACATGTTTTTAAAGAACAAATGGACAATTGGTAGTATTTTATACAGCCTAGCAGTTTCGATCAAAATGAATATTTTACTTTACTCGCCTGCACTTTTAACAGCATATATAACTAAATTTGGAGCCTATGGAACTATTAAACATATAACATACTGCGCTGCTGTACAGCTAATATTGGGTTTACCATTTTTAATCAGCAACCCAAAAAATTATATTAAAGGTGCATTTGATTTGTCCAGAGTTTTTATGTACAAATGGTCTGTCAACTGGAAATTTATTCCACCCAACATATTTGTTAGTGGATATTTCCACGTACTTTTGCTAGCAATCCATATAACAGTATTGCTGTGTTTTACGGCAACATGGATAAAATATTTGAACTCGTATGCAAAAATGAAGCAAATTGAACACGACTTGAAACCACAGTTGAAGAAAAAAAAGATCAACATCAATATGGATATAAGTGCTAATCTGTTTCTTCTGCCAATGTTTTCTGCAAATTTCATTGGAATAATGTTCAGTCGATCGCTACATTATCAATTCTACGTATGGTATTATCACACACTGCCGTTTTTGTTATGGTCAACGCCATATGGCAATAAATTTAGGTTAATAGTACTCGGATTGATAGAAATCTGCTGGAATACATACCCAGCTACAGCATTTAGTAGTGCTTTGTTACACGTTTGCCATTGTATTATCTTATATGGATTACATAGGTACAGATACAGGTACGGATCAATAAAGAAAAGATAAAAAAATATATATAATTTAAAAAAAAAACTTTTTAATTTTTTTCATTGTTCTCGATTTTAAGCCTTCCTTTTTTTGTATAATGTTTGATTCTGTTTTCTAAACTCTCTAAAACAAATACAAACATATATTAGTTATAACTTTAAATATATATAAGTTATATTTAGTAATGTAAAACATTTTTTCAATTTATTATTCATGGATAATATTTTATCAAAATATTGCTAAATATTGTTATATTATAAATCAAAAATGTATAAGATGCTTTTTTATATAGAAGATTTTTTTTTGTTCAATAATATAACAAGTAACTGTTTTAAAAACATTTATATTTTCTTCCATATATTTTATTCACGTTTTAGTTATAGTTTTTTAAAGTGTAAAAATAGTTTGATTTATTGACTGATAATATTAGATAAAAAACAATTATACTCAAACAATTTTTTTTAGCAAAATTGTATATATTTATAGTTAAAATGTTAAAATTACCACTAGCAGGCCGCTTCATAAGAGGTTGGTATATTTTAGATTTTACACCTTGTAATAAGCAATCACTTTGTTTGTTAATAGAGTCAGGAACTAGATCTTCAATATTTTTTAACATTTCACCCAGCATAGTCGTTCTGAAATAAATTGTTAACAATAACGAATACATTTTTTTATAATTAATTGTGAGGTAGTAAATACAAAATAAGTATATGTCTTATAATGACCAAAATTAAGTTAGTTTTAAGTAAAAATCTCATTACCTATTTAATTGAATTATTTTGGAATTTGGACTATAGAACAACATTTAAACTTATTTTTAACATAGCATTGAAAAATCTTGTAGCTTTAAACAATTTAAATAATTGTACTTTTAAAATATTAATATCAATGAATGATAAAATAATAAATTATGAATAATAAAACTACTCATGAATAAAACGCATAAATCATTTTTTATTTTTTATAAATAAATAAAAATTTGTTGAATAATGCCCATTTCTGATATAATACGTCAATTTTGTTTTACTCACTTTATCATGTGGGAAGCCCAATTATGCTGCAATGTAGAAATCACTTCTGTTACAGATTCATTATCAATAATCCAATTAACGTTTTCAAATTGACAATAAAATAAATTTAAAGGCAAATCACTAGCTAAAGAGTACTGAGGTTTCCTAAAAAAAACACAGCAATTAAATAAAATAATTTTTAATTAAAATATAAATACATACCTTGGACAATTATCAATATTTAATAAATTTGTTATTACACATTCATTTTCTTTATGTTGCCCAATCAATACGAGTACTGCAACTATACATCGAATTTGGTGCCACAAAAATGCTTGTCCTACAATTGTTAACTCACACATATCGTAACCTCTACTTTTTGAAAACTGATCATTATTGGAGCATAATTTAACATTAGCGCTGATTATACGTCTCGTGAAATTAGTAACACCATTGGCGACATCCATTTTACATAAATTACGAAAATCATGTGTACCCACCACATGCTGTACGGCATTATTCATTATCTGAAATACAATTGAAAATGTTAATATATGTCACATAATATAAATAAATGCCACTCTATAAATCATTGTGTTTATAATATATTTATACTTATAATATTATAATTATCAATTTCGTAGTTGAAAATAAAGCCTTTTATGTCTACTACAACCCTTGTGTTGACATAATTTACTTAATTCCCCCTGACCAAAGTGTTGAACTGATAGTAGAACTGCTTCAATAACAAAATGAAAAAAATGGTATTAAAACTTCATATATAATTTGTTAAAATTTTATATAAACTTCAAAAATACAGATCTTGGACTTAATTTATTATATAGTAATGTAGTTTGTGCAACATGTTTTACTTAACACTGTATTGATAAAAAATATATATTTTATGTGATTCCCTAGTATTCTTGAATACTTATCAAAACGATGATATTTTAATAATATTAAAAAGAAATGGAAAAATGTTCTTAAAATATTTTTTAAAACATAAATGATCATAGAATTTTACTTAAATTTTTAAGGCACAGATAAGTGGGCAAATTACCACTTAGGTTGTAAGCATGTTTTGCAGACAGGTTCATAAAAATTGTTAATAATTCTATCTAGAGTATTTAAACAGTGTCTTTATAATTAAAAAGCATATATTAAGACAATACATACATCTATGTCAAGATTACCACGAGGAAACCAGTATTTATATGTTCTAGAAGTACAATCAAACCTTGCACTAAAGTTGTCTATTACTGGACTCCAAGCTATCACACGTATATCTTTTGGCAGTAATCTGTTGAGCATTTTGCAGTAATTAAGCTCTTTACTGTTATTACCATTACTTCGTACTGTCAAAGATATAACCTGTAAAAGATATAACTTCAGAAAAACATATTTAGTTTATTTTATTAATAAAGAGAATATAATTGCTTATAAATACAACTTAAAATTAATAAAGAATTTTAAGAAAAACTTGATTTACAAATTTAGTTTTTATCACAAAAAGTACACGTCTAATAGTCATATATATTAACCCATCAACAACGAGAATATATTCGATTACAATGGTTGGTAATCAAACTATACCCTGTTTGCTGAAAGAGCATGCCGGGTTTGCGCATGTAGACTGAAGATTAGGCAGCCATCGAGGACCATTTTTTATATTATCACAAAACATTTTTATTTTATTTAACCTAATGCGAAATATATGAAATTAGCTAATTTTTTTATTAAAACAATTAATGCTACAAATTACCCACAGTTAGCAACAAATTTGAAGAAGCAATTATGCTAATAACTCTATAACAATGACAAAATTTATACTATAAAAAAAATGCTGTTGGTAACAATGTTTAGGTATATATATATATACTTTAAACTTGTGTTAAAATTTCAAAAATATAGGTTAACATATTGTACAAAAAAAGCTGATACATATTTATTTTCAGAATGTAATTTTTCTGTTTCATTTCCTATTAGACTTTCTCAAAGTACTTTATGAATTTATAGCAATCTATTTACTTGGCTAAATGAGCTGACTCCTTTATCAGTTCGGCCGCACCTATGGTAATTAGATGTCTGACGACTTTCAATCAAGCAGCATTTGGTTAAAGCATGAAATAATTCATGTTCTATAGTCTTTTCTGTGTCATCTTGTTTAGCGAACCCTTGGTAATCCCATCCTAAATACAATAATTTAAAAGCCACATGTCTCTTTTGGCATCTTTAAAAAAAAAATTCAAATAATTATTATTTTACTTTAAATTTTAAACTATTTATATTACTAAAATAATTTACATAATTAACTACTAAGCTTTAAATGCATGCTAGAATACACTGCGTCCCACATTATCCCACTATTTTGCATATAAAGGTTAAATATGTGAGCACATAAATGTTAATACCCAGCAATAGATTGAGTAGGCATATAGAATTTAACTAAAAATAATTGATGAAAATAGTTGATATAAAACATTAGATAACATGCAATATTTTAACAATTAAATCTAGAAATAATGATGTAATATAAGCAACAAGTAAAATAAAGATGCACTAATAATATTTTATTTAAAAAAATTATGTCACAATTTAGTGGTTATCAATATTTTAAGTAGGTAACCGAGTGAATGATTTAGACATACTTATGTATAATAATAAAAAATAAGATATATTAAAGATGAGAAGAAGAAGAAGTGTTTTAAAGTTCATAATTACTTAGTAAAATCAAAAACTCGTTTGATCTTTTTGCCTTCATTTACTAATTCATTTTTATTGATTCTTAGTTTCTCAAGCTCTAGTATTTTAATGATGAGTTCCTAAAATTAAAATAACATTAAAGAATTTAAATGTATAAAATTTTAAAATCTGTAACTTATTATTAACACTGACTACAAAATTGACATGTAAATTGTAATGTTGCAACAATGCAACATTTATTAATTATTTATATCAAATGGAAGCCAAGATAAAGTATAATTTTCATAATTTTCTTTTGATAAATAAACTCTACGAATATACATACTTCTTTAGATAATTTTTTAAGATCCTCAATTGATTTTTCCGATTTCAAATCTAATTCTCTTGACATTTCTCAAAAATATATAATATTTAATGAAGAGACCTGGTTTTTGGGATTAGATTTACCGTAAATTTATTAAGAATAAATATTTTTGGAAATTTTACATGATTAATGAATAGTTTCCGTACCTATATTATGATTTATAATAAAAGTATTTTAGTTTACATTATTTAATTTTCATATTCGCTTAAACTGATAAACGTTTTATCAACCATTTCTTAATATTAAATTATTATCAAAGAACTAAGAAACTAAAACCATTGATTATAAATATAAATAAATAAATATGTATAATCGCTGAACGTAAGAACCAAAGAAAGTCAAGTCATTAATTAAATATTTAAATGTATATAATCAATGGTCAAGTGAAATTTGTATAAACCACGAGCAATAAAATATAGGTAGTTGTTAGCAACATCTGCGTTATCAGTTTTTACAATATGGTAGTCACTAGCATGAACTAGTCAGTAGACTATAAAAGTCGATTATCTCTTGTAAGAAATAGTAATTATATCTAGTAAATATTATTAAAGTAAATACACAGTCGCCCAGAAAAACCTATAGAAAAGAGAATGAACCAGCAGCAATTTTTTGATATAAGTTTCTGACATGGATATTTATTTTGTCATGTTACTAGTACCATTGATTATAAATAATATCCAGAAATATTTAATATAAAGGATTGCACTGTGCGCATAATATATTATAATGTACTAGCATTAATTATTGATATACTTTATAGTGCCTTAATCAAATACTTATTAAAATAGTTTAATGAAAAAAAGACATTTTAATAAATTTGTTACATTTTTAGCCTAACCAATTTGGGATTACAATGTTATAGTTAACTGTATAAAAGCTCTTTAATTCTAATAAAATTATTTATTGAAATTACAAGAGGGATCAATAAAACATTTCCAAATGTCCAGTGTTTCAATTCTAGAAATGACTCAAGAAATAAACCAATTTAATATAGACTATATTATGTTTTATGCAATATACTGATTAGTAAACATTTTTCATTCAATTTTCGTTTTTTATCAAGGGTTAGAAAAAGTGATGTTTTATTCTATTGACCAATATTTCACATCTGTTAGTGTGTAAACGCATATCCCTAAGAATACAATTCATAACCAAAGCAATGTTTGAAACATTTATTTTTTCAAAATACTATTATTCCTTTATATACTATTATTACTACATTCCTAAAAATGTAATTTCATCAAACATAAAATTTGGTTGTTTTATAAATAATGATTATTAAAACTCTAGCATATAAATTTTAAAACATAATAAGATGTAGTGTAGAATACAATAATAATACAACTGCTAATAAATTTAATTTATTGATCTCAACAAATTTAACATCATATTTATTACAACATTTATTACACTAATGTTTTATAAACACAAAACTAGAGTGAACATACGTAAAATACAAAAATACAACAAACAGCACTTGTAAAATAGCAATAATACTACACACTAATAGTCTGACAGCGGGTAGTTTAATAGTTAATAATATTATTAAACATATTCGCAAAACACTGGCACCAGTAAATAGTATCATGGCTAGGTAGAATACTATATTGTTAGTCTCATCTGAAACAAAGCTGGTAAAAAGGGTAAAAACGTAACCATACAATCCATATCCCAATAACGATAGTATTTGCACAAAGGATATGCTTGACTGTCCTAAATTTGTCAGTACAAAGCATATTGCTGGCATTAAAACACAATACATAACCAAAACTTCTGAAGGTGATCTATGATATACAGCAGATGACACTTTATAAGCATGGCCGTAACCGAGTACAGTAGCTAATAGTATAAAAGCTAAACATGGCCCTAAGAAGTCGACGCGAACATGTCTTGACCAAACAGGAGGAGTAAATGATTGTAGTATTCGATTTGGTAAATCATTGGGAGGCATCGTAAAATATGATAAAACACGTGCAATAGTGTCTTTGTCCTTTAAAGGTTCCGACCCCAAAAATATAATTGAATGGTCCTTCATGTTTATTAGGTTTTAATTTTAACGAGCTCTACTTTTTACCATCCATTTTGTCCTTGGTGTCCTTTAATTTTTCTGACAAATTTTTCAGTGCGTTTTCAATTTTCAAGTCTTCTGTCAAGGATTTAGCACGTATAGCTTTATGAACAATAAATCTTGCCACTTTTCTCATTACATTAGAATCAGCTAATTTATCCACAATTTGATGGTTGTTTATAAAATACTGCGCTAAAAATCTAAATACCATGTTTAAAAATTGATAAACCTTAAAAAATATTTTTCATTTCGTAAAAAACCAGCAAAAACCAAATTTAAAGTACGGATTTCAAAATCGAATATCCAATTATGAGTTGACCTACCAACACAGTCAGTCCACAGATGACAGAATAGTCAATATTATACTAAGTTTAATCTATTTTGTGTTACCACTATAGATAATAGAATTGTCTTATCAAATATTATATTTCCTTGTCTCGACCACGGTTATCCACTCTCGATAAAAAATCTCATGACAAAATGAATAGATATGAATACAAGTACACAACTATTATTTTTGTTAAATTCTATCGACTATTGTATTTCAGCACACAGATGTTTATGATAAATTTAATTATTTTTTTGACAGCAAACAGTAGGTTCCAATAAAATTCAAATATATCTCGTTAACATTTCCCTCTTGTTGCAATGTACAAATAAATAATAATCTAAGACATTTTAAATCCTTACAGCTTTGATATCCATATTTAAAACGCATCATTAAACTAATAAAATGAATAATATTAATACAAAGGTTATAAAAACCAATATTACAATATACTTCTTAAAAAAACCCCAAGTCTCAACCGTAGTTCGTTATCCATACACGATTTGGTCAATTTTGTTGTAATTTCAAGCTAGCGTTTTGATTACTTTACTTCGGCTTCAATTAACTACTTCCGATCATAGACATACATAGTAGCTAGATAACAAACTCTGTATAATCGCTCAACGAAAATTTGACTTCACTATCGTTTTTGCCCCACTGTACGTTTGGGCTACAGGCTTTAATAATACGAGCAAGTTTGCTTACTAGGTACTATATAATATGTCTATGCTTCTGAGACAGTTGTCAGAATAGATTAAAATATATATTGTTAAATATTAATTAAATACATACTTGACATATTAAAGTAAATGTACAAATTATACTATTTAGTCAGTAGATAGACCGATAAATCAATTCTTATAATTTCTGTATATATCTACTATATGAATTTAATGAGCCAGTATAACATAATATGTTAAATTGTTAAATCGTTAATATTCCGTGGTAATACAACTTGATAGTTGATACCACAAGGCACAATGTTGCAACCACAATGGTTACATATAGTTTTTGTGGTTAATGGGAAGGCTGCAGCAGCTGCTATTGCAGACGCTAAATTGAAGAGGGCTGTAATTGAGTAATCATTTTCGCCATTCGCCAGTATGCTATCAGTAGACGTGTATCCATATCATTGTTGTTGTTATTTCAATGGCCGTTGGATAAATTAATGGTTAATTAATTTATTATAAAATATTGCATTTATTAAAAACTCGGTTGTTGGCAAAAATCGTCGGTGAAGATACTCAAAACACCTCGACATGGTTCTGCAGAAGTAAGTTCGGTTTAAATACTTATTTTCTAATTGTTTAAACTATCACAATATCACTATTGAGTCTTCTTGTGGTCTGTGAATTCTATTAAATCTTGAAAATGACAAATCGAACAAATAGAGTTATAGATTATTATAATGATTTCATTGATTGTGCTCAAAATATGCCATTGGACGTACAACGTCATGTTACTCAAATGCGGGAATGTGATTTAGAATACCAAGAAATGGTTTCTAAAATTCAGGAATTATCAAAGAATTTAGATGGAACTTCATCATTGCTGAGTCCTGGTAAATTAACAAAATTCTTAGTGGCTGGTCTGGATTTAGGAGATCGTAAAGTTCAAATGGTACAACAAATATCCGACTTGGTTGATGATAAAGTCAGACGTTTAGAATTGGGAAAAAAAGGTTTAACATCTGTTAAAGAATCTGACACTCCTAAATTAAGTATTAAAGAAAAATCTGATAGTGGAAATTGTTCTAAAGAACGTAGTTTGCCTAGTGCTAGTTCAAGTACTGTAACTAAAGAACTAAAAAAGCGTAATACTGATAATGATAGTAATGAATCCAACAACGACGTTAAAGTTACAAAACGACCTCGCCGAAATAGAACTGATGAGCCGGATTATAAAGAAATATCTGATGATGTTGTAGCACTGTCAGTTTTGCAACATTCCCATACTCCTTTGCCTAGAGCAACTGCAACAGCACAAATGCAATCTCAAGTAGCTGTGAAAAAATCCACTCAAAAAACTGATACTAAAACTAAGAAAAAAGGCAAGTACAAGAAACAGCAAAAGGACAACTCTCCATCTCTGGATGATGAGGATGACATAGCTGTAGACCCAGATGAACCGACTTATTGTCTGTGCGATCAAATATCTTATGGCGAAATGATTTGCTGTGACAATGATCTATGTCCTATTGAATGGTTCCATTTCTCATGTGTTTCATTATCGACAAAACCTAAAGGAAAATGGTTTTGCCCTAAATGTCGTGGCGATCGACCGAATATAATGAAACCTAAAGCCCAATTCCTCAAAGAATTAGAGCGTTATAATAAAGAGAAAGAAGATAAAGCTTAAGATTTTGTTTGACATTATTGACAATCTACTTAATTTAGTTCTCGTACGTACTTATAAATAAAATTATATAATAAAACATTTTGCTTGTACTTTTTATAAATGTATAATAATATATCTTTATATATACATGTATATATAACATATGTATATTTTTATAATTACCCAACAATTGTTTGTATGATACATGCCAATGTATTGAATTTTTATTTAGACAATTTTTATATTATTTTTGAAAAATGTACGATAATAATTTATAAATTATTATTTTTATTATTATCTTTATGTGAATTAGTGTTTTCTTAAAAAATATTTTAAGTATAAATAATTATATAATCTATCACCATTTAATATATTATAACTTAAAATTTTATTTTATTATATATTTGTACATTTGAAAAAAAGACAATATTTGAATATTTTGAATAGCAAACTAGTAACATTTTGTAAGATTTATTATTATTGTTGTTGTTGTTGTTGTTGTAATGTGTGTAGTACTATGTTATGTAGCAATATTTTTTTCTTTTAAACTCTTCTTCTTATTAGAATGGAAAGCAGCGACGTATCAGACTTTGTTGAGCTTGGCCAATTGGCTGGCATCAGAATTGCGCCAAATGTTGTAAGGTAAGCAAACTAAAATTTTTGTTTTAATTATTACCTTGTATTAATATTATTTTTATTTATTCACAGCGCAATGTTAGAATTGCTAATCTTAGGCTACTCTCCATCCACTATCAGAAAAGTCTGCCGTGAAATAGCTAAATACAAAAGTCGACATGAAAAATCTGCAATAAATAGTATTAACTCTAAATAAAATGAACTTTTTAATTTTTTCTTATTTACAAATGTATTTATATATATTTTTTTTTTTTATGAAAATTTCACACTTGACTGTATTATAAGTAAAAATACAATCACTTGGTTGTGACTACATAATATTATTAACAACATTTTTAAGTTAATATGTTTTTATTTAAATTTATAACCTTTTTAATACCACAAAACCTGTTTAAGATGACCTTAGAAAATTTTACAAGTCAACATTTTTCTATAATACTGGGTCCCACTGAACTGTAAACAGTAACTGTATATAGTTCAGTGCTGGGTCCTAGTTTATTTATTAAATGAACCATATAACTGCCTAGTAAAATGATACACTTGGGTTTCATGTTATTTTGCCCAGACCAATTTCATTGTATATACTTTTGTTATTATTAATGCAAAAATATATTGGAGGTGTTAAATTGGAAAGACATTATTGATTACATTATGAATATGATTTCATAATAAATTTTAAATTAGTATTTTCAGTCTACACAATTTATCTATTTATCATTCAGCATTAATATATTATGTATCATTTTTAGAAAATAAAAAGTAGTTTGTTAAAGTGTTCTGAATTAAAAGTATCAATAGTTTCACATAACTTGGAAAAAGTTGTCCTTACAAATTGACTTAAACATGGCCAGATGTTATTTCTATAAAATATGTCGGATGCCATAAAAAATGTTAGCATAAAAAGGCCAAACAATCGGTATTTATTATTTGTATAGTTAGTATACATTTTTACTGTTAATAAGAAATTAGGACTACAAATTTAAATAATTCATGCATTAATATGTTATTGTCAAGTAGGTGAATTTATTTATTAAAACAATGGCCGAAAAGATATATGAAACAACAAATTTATAGATTGCGGTTTTTTAATTTTAAAAAAATACGTACAATAAAAAATAAAGGAGATCATAATATTGTTAATCAATTACATATCTTAAAATGCATTGAATTGAATAAATGTAATTTTTTAAATTTATGTGCTTTAATATAAATTGTAATTGGTGATATATTTTAAAACTTTTTCACATCACTGGCTAAAACTCAGTATGTCTAACCGTTTTTTGATAACTCTAAGATTCTCTTCTGTTTATTCTGTGATATTGTAAAAGAAAATTGATAACAAGTTGCAGCTAATGCTACACCTATTTATTTCGTTATAAATGTTCAGTTCTCGCGTTATCTTTTATCACATTTCAAATTTCGTCGGTTCCGGCAATTTAGTTAATAAATAAATATTTAAGTTTTGGTATTTCAAAAAACTATATATTATAATTGAATACAGTGAACTGTATGTGAGGAGGCAAAATCAATTATCATAATGAAAGGTGAAACTAAACCAGAGACGTGCATTAAAAATAGGGACAACTTGTATAGACTCATTATAAGGTGGGCAACTAATAAATAGTTTTTCAATTATTCCACCGTGCTGAATAAATCAATATTTAATAAAAACTTTTTGTTGTTTTAGCCAATTATTTTATGACGGTCATTCAACAATTGCGTCGAGTTTGGCTGCTCAAGTAAATGCCGATCCTCCATGTTCTCCTTCGGACCGATTAATGAGTGTAGTAGCAAAAGGACTTCAACACGAAACCGATAGACAAAAAGAGTCTGAAGAAGTAATACATTTAAATCCAATACAGCAAATGTTAATTGGACCAGGAATCGGTATAAATATATTGTTATTATCATTAGACAGAGATGGTGGTTTACCTTATAAATCAATATTTATATTTAGATTTGGAGTTTGAGACCAATGTAAGTTGTTCCGCCCCAGAGCCAGCTTTGTATGAAACTGTCTATGTAACATCTCATAAAGGAGCTTGTAGAGCAGGTGCTTTTAGTCCAGAGGGCCAACTGATTGCTACAGGAAGTAGTGATGCGTCAATTAAAGTACTAGCGTACACAAACTTGTAAAGTAATTATATAATTACATTTGATTTTTGGCAAATTTAGATTTTGGACGTAGAAAGAATGTTAGCAAAAGCTCACGATATCGGTAGTACTGACAATCAAGAAGGACAAGGACATCCTGTGATTCGTACTTTATACGATCATTTGGAAGAAGTGACGTGTTTAGAATTCCATCCAAACAAACCAATTTTGGCATCCGGATCTCGCGATTGTCACGTTAAACTGTTTGATTATTCGAAAACGTCTGTTAAAAAAGCTTTCAAGACTATTAATGTAATTATTTTATATATTTTACTTCTATTAATTGGATATTTCATCTAATCTCTTGTTAGTGATAAGTAGGGTTTCATAATAATCACATTTTATTCATAGTGTAGGGTAGGCTTATCCTTATATGCAGAGCCGGCTTGAAGACTGCCCTTGCATAGTGCCCTGCTTCTTAGTACCCTCTAAACAGTATAAAATTATATTAACTATAAAATTTAAGTTTATAATTATTATTTAACTATATCGGTGTAACAATCTCTGATTTGCCTGATTTCTTGCTTTGATCAATTTCCTGTTATGACATTTACATTGATATATACAGGGTGATTCATTAAGGATAAGACACTCAAATATTCTAAAATAATTGCAATTTTATAGTTTTTCTTTTTGAAAACATTTTTGTTTTTGTTATTTTACAATATTATAAAACTAATAAACATATTTTACCTTTAAGAGTATTTTCCAGAGGTCTATTAACTTTTGGGAACGTATATATTTAATTAACTTTTTTTAAAAGAATTATTGTTTCTTTAATTGTAGAAAGAGGCCCTGCCTCTGCAAACTTAGCTGCATTCAATAGCCTCAATATATTACAATTCGGTGACCCTGCTTACTTGTTTTTATTATTGAACAAATATTATAAACTTTTCTAAAAACGTGTTGGTTATTAAAATGTTTCATTTTTTCATATTCAATTCTGTTAATAAGTATTAAATACTACTAAAACATGACATATTTATTTTCTAGGACGTCGAACCAATAACTTGTCTAAGTTTTCATCCGCAAGGCGATTTTTTAGTAATGGGCACTAATAGTCCTATAATAAGACTGTACGACATAAACACTGTACAATGCTACGTTTGTTGTCTTCCAAGTCATCAGCACACGGGTCCTCTAACATCAATCAAGTAAACTTAAATTAATTTCGAAATTACAATTCGGTTGGCCAAAAAAAAAAAACCCTAGGTTTATTTTGTTTCAGACCAGCAATTGTTTGGTATTTACTCGAAAATATAGGCTTCATTGGGTTTATGCATACTCTAAAAATACCAAACAAGGTTGGGTTTTTTGAAAAAAAAAAAACTTAGGCATGGCCAATATTGTTACGATTTGATGCATTATTAAATTGTTTGTTTTTAATTATTAGGTATGAGCCAAGTGCCAGATATTTTGTGTCTGCAAGCAGAGACGGTTCGATAAAACTGTGGGATGCTGTATCAAATAAGTGTGTCAACACATTCGAAAAAGCCCACGACGGTAGTCAAGTTTGTTCTGTAACTTTTTCAAGAAATGGCAAGGTAAACAACTAGATAGTTAATTTATAAAATATTGTTTTTTGTAAAATGTATGTATTCATCTTGTGTATTAGTATATATTATCATCGGGAAAAGACTCATTAATAAAACTTTGGGAACTGTCAACTAGCAGATGTTTGATCGCTTACACTGGCGCCGGAACTACAGGTATTATATAAAATATTCTTAATATTCTATAAAATATAATTAATATGGGGCATTTCCCTTACGGGTAGCCAGAAATGCCATATAATGAGGAGAGAAATCTTAAAGCAAAACCGCAAAAGTAATAAGCACAACATAAAATAAGTGAAATTAGTAAGTTATTACTAAATAGGGCATAATATATAATCAAACTCAATTTTTAGATTCACTTATTTTTGTTTTTTCCCTATTTTACGTTACACTTATTTCTTTCACTATATCGGTCTTGACTCTCCAATACGACAGTTAATTAGAGGGTCTTGTATTTAAAACGATAAGACTTATGCTGAAGTAAAATGATGATACTAACCTTTGTAATCTCCACCTACGAACATGCTTTATAATACCAAATGTTCCATCTAAATGTTTATACATATATATTGTCTACAAGTGTATTATCACCATTATATTATTTCAAATTTTTTTGTAAAAAAATTGTTCAATAGGAAAACAAGAACACCGAACTCAAGCGTTGTTTAATCATACTGAAGAGTATGTGATGTTTCCCGATGAAGCTACTACTTCGTTGTGTGCATGGAACGCTCGTAATGCTTCTCGCCAGCAACTTTTATCACTAGGTAATATTGTCATCTTATTTAATTTAGTATGTACAAATATGCAGTGTTTTGATCAGTTATCACAAAATCACTTAAATGAGCTGTTGCATTAAATATAGTAGCCCTATGCAACTAACTGTCTGTTTCTTATGAGTTATGATTTAGATAGATGATTAGTGTCATCCATATCTCACATGCTTATTCTATGATGAGGGGACCCCATTTTTATAAAATTGTCATACAATATTTTTAAGTTTTGGCCTTTGATGTGGAACTGAGAAGGTATTTTTAAATACAATAATGTGTTTTGTTTTATCTGTACCCACAAATACTTAAAACCGCCAAACCTATTTCATTTGAACAATTTTTATTATTTTTTTTTTGTCGAGATAGCCTCAATAAATCAATTAACGTAGGGTATTATTTATATTTTATTGTCTATAAAAACTATTTATTTTTATATGTAATAATTTTGCATTAAGTGATTTTATCACACTTGGTTATTAAAGTTCTTGTATATCTGTGACCTCTCCGTCTCCTATATGCCCAGACCTCACTGTGTTTTTTATATGAACGCTTCAGTAATGTAACGTCACATTCGTACATGTTTCAGGACACAATGGACCAATAAGATCAATAGTGCATTCGCCCAATTCAGCAGCATTTTTGACATGTTCGGATGACTTTAGAGCACGCTTTTGGTATAGAAAACATTTAATCGGAGCATAAATGATGTGTATGTGTTTAAAGTAATATTACTATAGTCCGGCCCACGTTCCAGCAGTTCCTGCTCAGGTTCCTTCTCTTGTGGGCAGGAGTATACATCGTTTTGTTAAAAAAATTTTCAATCAAATGATATCAATTTTTCTTAGTAATTATATAACAGTATTAATGATTTCATTTATTTACCATTTGAATTTTTCCTAGATATTGTTATAATAATTTCTAAATCATTGTAACCACTATGATACAATTATTCTGTAATCAAAAAAGTTATAAATCTACCTCAAAAATAACTTTTTTCAAATGAAAAATATGTTTACGACAATTCAACAGACTCAAAATAATCTTATCATTGTACATAATAATTTATTCGATAATTATAATTATACCAGTAATACAAAGCAACATGTTTTATTTTTCTTATGAATTTCTAAAAATGTACATTTTATCTATAAAATAAAAATATACGTGTTTAATAATTATTATTGTTATTGAATTATGAATATTACTCATTATTCATTAATGAAATAGTATACAGTACTGTCTACTGGAGTAAAATTATTGCTATTGATCCCTCAGAGGTTAATGGTATTTTTATTTAATATTTTTGTTTATTAGCACAGTCCACAAAAACAAAACAAGAAATTTCAAAAAGTAATTTAGTACATTGTATCTAAATTTCTATTACATGTATTTTATTTTTCAAAAGTATTATTTAAGAGTATAAAAAAAATATTTCAAAATTATAATATAAATTATGAATATTGGGTTAATAATAAAAAAAAAGTCGACCCGAGAACCTTCTCATTAATTTAATGTAGAGAATATGCGTAGCTACGTTTCGATGAAACTTTTATTTAAATTGCTGACAAGAATGCTGATAGTCCAAAAATTAATAATACCTAACTCAAAAAAAAGAGTCCTAATTACTGAACATATAATTACATATTACAGTTTAACCTTTAAATCAAGATCTCTCAAAAAATTGCGTACACCTAAATCCTCAATAAATAGGGGTACCGGGGTATGACGTCAAAATGTACATATTGATGTTTGTTTGCCATCAAAAACAATATTTTATCATTGCAAGTAATATAATAATTAATATTATCTGACATTGCACAAGTCATGTATGATACATTTATGTTTATCATTTATTAACAGGAAAGCGGAAACTGGTTGCTGCTTATTTATTTGCTTTTATAAATAGAATTACAGTATACCCGATGGCGGAATTATCGCGGCTTGTAGTCCCGTCGTCCCGCGGCCTGCGCCTGACCATAGCCAGTGCCTCGTATCGCTTTTTAGTTTTTTATTTTCTATTTAATTAATATATATTTTAAAAATAATTAACGTTTGACAAACGTGTCTATTATCCTCAGGCCATAGGGCATAGACAATTATTGTACCTGTTTATATATTTTTTTCATTGTCCAGACCCATCACGAGTGACAAGTAACAATTGAATCATTGGCTGACGAATGGCGATTGACGATTTAAAATTAAAATGTTGTTACTTCATACCTATTATAATTATTTCCAAGTTTTATCTCAGATTATATGAAATTAGAAATAGATTTATCTATTCTGTAGTTATATTGTTTGTATTAAATGTGGCCACACTGAGTTTTACATCTAGACTAGACACTATCTCAGATTTCGAACACCAACTACAACTTTTTGGTCGTAACAAGTGATTAATAATTATTAAAACATAATTTTACATAACTCGGAAATTTCTCGTCTAATTATATAAAAATGTCTTATGTTTGATTTAGTTTTATTGTTTTAAGTTTAAAACTTTTAACCAATTCTATTTTACATTTAGTAAAGAACGCAAAAATAATGAATAAATCGTTTTGATAGTAACTAAACAAAAATATCTTCAATAATGGACGTTCCTAAATCGAAAAAATTCTGTTGCTCTTGCTGTGTTACGATGGCAAAGAGTATTCCTGTGATATTCATATTATGTATACTTGCGTGGTCATACTATGCATACGTATATCATCTGTGCCTTAGTAAGCGTTCAATACAATGGTGTCTGTAAAATATTACACCATATTATATTGTTATTGTTTTTTCCAGATCAAATCAAGTCTCTAGAGATTAGAGTGCCATTTCTTCTGATATACCATATTATACTTGTATTTTTCCTATGGTCTTACTTCAAAACCATTTTCACGGAACCTGGTGGTGCACCACAAAAAGTAATTTCCATTCCCCGTCTTATTTTAATACCCGTATTGATTATACTCATTCGCAAACTTATCTATATTTCAATACAGTTCAAGCTCTCTGACGAAGTTTTCGAAGAATTTAATAATCATCCAATTGATTTAGCCAGACAAAGCATTGTCCTACGTGAATTTTCGAAAGATCTACCAATCATGACATTCACAAATTCTGATGGTAAATTATCATATTTCTTCCTCGTTTTACCTTAACAAAGTAATGTATATGCAAAATGTAGAAAACTACTTTTCAGACATCAGATACTGTGATAAATGTAGAATAGTAAAGCCCGATCGAGCTCACCATTGTAGCGTGTGTAGAAAATGTGTATTAAAAATGGATCATCACTGCCCGTGGGTTAACAATTGTGTCTCGTATTCAAACTACAAATATTTCATATTATTCTTAGCGTATGGACTACTTATGTGTATTTATGTTGCATCCACCACAGTACAATTTGTATTGAAGTTTTGGGACGCCACATCTGATATGGTAAAATTATATTTAACATATTATTTTTATGCAGTGTTAAACGATCTTAAAAACTATTGTGTTTTGTATTTTTTTTTCAGAGATTACAAGGCGCTTCGTATAAAATTCATATTATATTTTTATTTTTTATTGCTTCAATGTTTTCAATCAGTCTGTTCTCATTGCTTGCCTATCACATTTACTTGGTTTCTAAAAATCGTACTACCTTAGGTAAATCAGTTTGATTTTTATTAATTATTATTATTATTAATCTGTTTTTGTAATTGGTTCTCAGAATCCTTTCGCCCTCCAAAATTCATGGAGCGTTATGATAAAAACGGATTCAACTTAGGGTGCTTTAATAATATTCAAGAAGTTTTTGGCAGAGAAATTTTATTATGGCCTTTTCCTCTAAATACAAGGTGAGATAAATAGCCGTTACTTATTTAAAAATAAAATGCACTTCATCATTATAAATGTAATATATGTTTATCGACAAATTTGGATAATCGCTGTAAAAATGAAAACTTAAAATATTTATAATTCAGTATATAGTTCTCTGGAGCTAATGCCTATTTATGTCCTATTAAGTGATTATTTGGAACAAAATAAATAAAGTATTTGTTTTATTCGGGAACGAGTAAACTAAGGAACAAATATATTTTAATTATTCATATTGAACGATTACAAAGAAGTTAATTAGGCATTAGTTTCAAAATTGATTCAGATCACTGATAATGTGTATAGTATAAACATTGTCCTAATTAAAAAAAAAAACTGAGTAAAATGTAATGTATTTACAAAAAAAATTTTTAATATTAAATTTTATTTTTAATATTATTTCCCGAGTAAGCAGAACTAGTTTTAAATAGAAACGTAAAGTGGAATAACACTTTATAGTTTTTCTTGGGTAACTAACATTTTTATATCAAATTTATTTTAGTGAATACCATTCTTATATTTGAAATACATAAAAAAAATGAAATCATTTTCTAAACTTAAACAGATTGTGGTCTTTTATAAAAAAAAACTTTTTAAGGTTTTGTTTTAAAACAAAAATGATTCATTTTTTGGTATATGGTTTTATTTTGATAATGACAGAATGTTTTCTAAGTATTTTATAATGTTGTAGCTATATAAAAACATGTTTAGTATTATCTGTCATAAGAAAATTTGAATTTAAAAAAAAGCAATGTGTTTGTTCTTTAATTAACATTAAAAAAAAAAAAAATTATTGAATGAGCTGTTCTGGCAGTTATTTTAAGAAGACACCACACTTCAGTTTGTTACTAAATAACTATTTATTAACCAGTCCTATTTTGTTTTATAATCAACAAAGTATTAATATGTTGGTAACATGATATAAAAAACTGTATGTACACCAAATATTGTCAGTTTTTGTTATTATCTCAACAGTTAAATTTTTAAAAACGATAAGTTAATTGTCAGTAAACTATTAGTTTAATAGTTAAAAAATTACATTTATTGTTTTCAATTACAATACCAAAAAAAATCCCCATAATGTATGTCTTAATATATTGATTTTTAGGTTTCATTAATATTTTAAGCTTTTGCGATCACTACATAACAAAATATTTTAGTAATATCAGATTGACGAAGAAAAAAAATTGTTAAAAACTGAAAATCAATACTTATGTTGTCAAACAAAGAAAAAAAAATTACCTACACAGAATCTTCATGTACAGGGTCTGGCAAAAAACCTCCCTTATTTAGAAAGGGCACTGTGTGAGTTGTGGTGGTGGTGCAATGGTGGAGGGGTATCGATCGATAGCTGTATACAAGCCATTTTCTTCTGACCTATTCTAAACCAGTTTGCTAGGAACCATGATGAGGGAGAAGTCTGGTTCCAACAAGACGGTGCCACAGGTCATACTTCGCGGCGCTCCCTAGCAATCTTGAGATAGTTGTTTCTTGGACGTCTTCTCACTTTGCGAGGAGACATCACCTGACCGCAAAGGTCACCCGATTTATCGCCTTGTGGTTTTTTTCTTTGGGGACTTAAGAAGGCAATCACCCAGGCAGTGGCTGCCATTACACCGGAAATGACACGAAGAGCTATGGCCTTTCCCGAAAGTTAAAAGTGAACGCTGCAAAGTGTCACCTGTGGCACCGTCTTGTTGAAACCAGCTTCTCCCTCATCATGGTTTCTAGGAAACTGGTTTAGGTTAGGTCAGAAGAAAATGGCATGTATACCGCTATCGATCGATACCCCCTCCACCGTTTTACCACCACCACAACTCACACAGTGCCATTTCTAAATAAGAGAGGTTTTTTTGCCAGACCCTGTATATACTAATAAAAGTACACTAAAGATTATTTTTAAATTAATATTTCCATAAAAATTGCCTATATCGATGCCCTTCATAAATTGAAAAACGTGGCAGGTGTGGTGTCTTCTTAATAAATAAAAAATAAAATAAAATAATAACACTAATAAGTAATAAGTAAAGCCCATACTTGCTTTCTAGAATTTTTTTGCAACATAGATGTCCCTGCTATGTTGCCTGAACTATGATTTTTTTTTGTTTTAGTTTGGGGGATGGAGTGAGTTTCCCATTGGCGAGCAACCCAACATCCAATGATAGAATTAGGCAAACACCCAACAAAGCCAGAAGTCCGTTTTCTGTCTAAAAACTTATGTACTTTAAATGCCTACAGCGCTTAATTTGAATTAACTATTCATTTAAAATAAAGATGTCTTTAGGCTCAAGTCAGTATTGTATTGTGTTCATGAATTTAAAATTGTACTTGAAAAAGTAAATTATATTCAATAAATAATATTGATATTGTTAGCCTTTTAAGCACGCTATTTTTAAACTTATTTATTAAGGTGAGCTATTTGATATTTTTTGACAATTTGTATATTTTTGGTAACACTTGTTTTTTTTAAATGTTTTATTTTTTTTTATTGACACATGACATTATAACTTTTTTTAAACAAAATATATGCTAAAAGTATATCAACAATTTAATATCTACATAACTTTTTTCCTTTTTTAACCTTTTGAACAATATTTTTTAGTTTTAAAATGTATTGTGAAAACTTTCTGTTTCAAACTAACACTTAATAATTTTTTTTCACTTAACTGCATGTATTAATATTTGTGGTTCTCCCACAGCCTTGGTAATGGTGTATCATTTCCAATCAACAAAAAGATACCAGAAGCACAAAGTCTTTTGCACTCGACGAGTATATACGACCATAAAACATCAATTGGTAATACATTATGGTTTTTATTTTGAGTATTAAGTATAATTTTAAACTGTGTACTAGTGGTTGACAATAATTGAGTTTTAATATCTTATTATTATGATTAGATATGGAATCGTCCCAGATGACATCAGTTTTATCTGCGTAAGTAATAAGTTCTTAATAATATATTTTAAAAAGCCAGCACAGTTGAGGAGGACGTTACTTATTGGAGTCAAAGATATTAGTTAACCAAATAAATATTTTGATGCGAAACTGTAGATGAAAAACTATTTTAAAATAAATATAAATAATTTTGTATTCTATTGGCAATAAATGTGTTTATAATTATGTTTTGATTTAGTAGTTGATAAAATGTGGGTGTGCTGTGTATTCCTTGATGAAATTGCGTGACTTACGATTTTTTTTATTGCTTTGAAAATATTATGGGCCAGACACAATAAGAAATAAAAAATAATGTTGTGTAATAATGACACATCATTGTTAAAAATAATACCTCTCAGCTTCGCATCAAAGTTAAAAATACGAATATTGTTTTATTTGATAATGTGTTTACTTTTAGATACAGTAATAGCAGTGCAGAACAAAATATCAGAAACCATGTAAAATGTCAAGATCTTATAGAAATTTAGCACAATTCATATGTTTGTGTATTTTATTTTAATTCAATATTATTTCTGTGATAACTTTTCCTAAATTTAATTCCTTATAGATATTTTGAATAAAAGATTTCATAAGTCTGTGTATTGGTGTTTTCTAGTAGGTTTTGGCCCAAACAGTCCACTGCGAATGAGTGGTACCGCTTGTATAGCTAAATATATTAACCGCATCACCAGTGTGTTGTCTACAAATTTCCTACGTTTTTGGGTAGTCACCATCACGCCGCCAATCTCTTGTTCAGACAACTTTAAGCAGTTGTCAATATTGATATCCACGTTCAACCCTGTGCCGACCAGATAATCTTTTTGTAATTCTCCAATCATCGACTTCACCATATTGACATCAGTGGGTATCACAATCAAATCTATTTTTCTTTCCAACATCTTTATAAAAAACAGCTATGCCAGTTTATCAGTTTGCAAATAATACTTCATTCTACACTACTTGATACATTGCCTGAAGTATTAACTTCTTAAGGATCGGTTTATGTGAGTTTTGATCTTTGCGTAATTCAACGAGCTCTTCATTGACGGCTGCCAACACCGACTTGATGTATTCATCTCTGTTCAACAGTATCTCCAATTTGGCTTTGGTCATGTGAGTAGGTATCATTCTGATCCCATCGAACACGTAATATAGATTCATTTAGAAAATACGTCAAAGCGTGATAAAACTCACGTCGCTTTTTCCCTGTCGATGCGTACCATTTTCTTGTTGTACGCCTGTTTTATGGCCTCTATGCCTTTATGTATCAGTTCGCCTTTTTGAATATGATACTCTTCTTCAGCCATGTCATTGATATCCTGCACTATTTGCTCTGCTTCTTGATCCATAAACTCAGTCATCCTGGCCAACTAAACCAAACAAATGTACAACTATTTCATAACGATTTTAAGTTAAGTTACTCGCCTGCTGATTATTGTGCTCTTTAAAATTCATGCCAGAGATAAATAATGGCTTTTGTAATAGGTACTATACAAAAGTGCCTAACACTTGATAAATGTTATTGTTTATTTGTAAATTTGGCTTAGGTTACTAGACAATCATATTGATGTTTAAATATTATAATACCTAACTATAAATTTACATTCACACAATTCAACTGTTTTTTTTAAATAATTGTATTTTTGGGAAAGTTGTGCTACGAATTAGAGAGGCTGTATTCACAATAACATTATTATTTATTACCAAAATCCGCGATAGTCTGATAAAACGGTTAACTAGTCTAATAAGGTGCTCAAATCTCAATACCATCCTAATATTCATACTAACTGAATTAGGTTTTTGTAAAAAATTGCCTTTACCGAAAACTTTTGAACGTAGTACATATTATGTGTGGCGTCCTTTTAAAGAAATGAAATGATGTCTGTTGAAAAAATAAACATACCAAAAAAATGTCTGTATGGTTACAGTCTTAAAGTATAAAGGTTTGCTGTAAATTAGAGGGTACTGATAAAACAACGCGAAAAATCATAGTTTAAATATGACATATAATGTAATTAATATTCATCAATAGATAGTATAATAGCACAGTTCAATGGGTGTAATATGGTAATGTATTATAACGACTAAGCTATAGTAAAAATAAGTAAGAGACTTAATAGTTTAGGCTTTGCCACATGGGCGATTTAACTTAATACAGTCTATAATATTATACTCGTATAAGTAGGTAAATGGTAATGAGTAGGTAGTAGCAATAAAGTATAGAAAAAAAACAGCTTTTCGTCAAAGCTAAAAATACAAACTACAAAAACACAAAATTACATGATATTAAATTCAAACGTCTCTTAACGGTTCTGGAATCGTGTCGCTGGCTTTGAACATGTCGTAGTCCGCCAAACCGGCCATTTCTATACTCTTTTCCCAAAACTTTTTCGCCAGTTCCGGATCTCTTGCCCGACCGGACGGTGACTTTACTTTGCAGTCACTAGACAACGAGAAAATACACAAATAAATAAGAATCCTTTCGTTTAGCTGTGATTTTAGCACACAACCATACCTATAATATAGTCCCGTCTGTTCGCCGGCCGTTTCGTCTATGGCACAATGCAACGTTGTCTGTGCACCTTGTTCGGGCGACTTCATGATCGGATAGCTGAATATCTTGAATAGGAACCATGTCCCCGGAAAGAACACTTGGTCTACAGTCCTACCCAAGTCCGTGTTTATGACTCCAGGATGTAAGCAGTAGACGTTCACACCCGTGCCTATAATATATTATAAGTTATGTATTGAATACCGTTGGCACTAGAGTACCTTTAAAATATATATATTTTCATTTTTGTTCCAAATAAAAGACGAAATTTTGTTGTAATTAATCAAACACAAACAGCTACAACAGATAAAACTATCTTCTATGTATTATTGTAAACATTTGGTAAAGTTACTGTGAATAGGTACTGTCCTCATCATTTTGTTGTCCCGCGCAAATCGGTTTTGTTGAAAAAATTGTAATTTTCACTATGCTGTGATGACCTGATAGAAAACATCAATAACCAATCAAATTCCTCATTGCTGTATTGAAAAGTTAGTATAGGTAAACTATAGTTCAAGGCTCAAGCACAGAATAGACTACATTTAATATATTCAGTGGTGTAACTTGTAAGCTTTAAACTAAGATATTGTGAAAAATTGCCTACACATTACTCCTAAATTTATGGGTTATGTGGTCTTCTTAGAGGGCATCAAACCACTTTTTTTCGGCGCGTAAAATATGTCTAAGTCGAGGCACTTTTAAGAAGAACTGAGCGGGTTTAGCGTAAATGTACATCTATACAAAATTAAAGATCTATCTAATATTTGACATATTTTTCATAACAAAACCTAATCGAAAACAATACATTTTATAGGATTTTTTTCGCTGAATTTCAATCAGCCTTCAAACCTAGTTTAGTAGGTTGCGTGCATTTTTTTTTTAACCGTCTTCTACAATTGTAAACAACATGCAAAACAAATATCAATTTTCTAATTAAATTAGGAAATTATTATTATTTATATTGGACAATTTTGTGTTACATAATCATTGGTCTAATTCGCATCACGCACAAAGACTCGTTACTTCAAGTTATATTAAGCGAGTAATATACTGTAAAAACATTAACAGGTAATATAGGTATATTAATTGTAAATCAAACGAGTTGTATGTCGGCCATTCGTATGTTTTTCCTCGTCCATATTGAATGAAATATTGAAATCTATTAGGTATTACTATTTTCTTTGTTTAGGATATTATTTAAGGCGTAAACTAGATAATTCAGACGTTACCTAGTTAAACGCATTACTATTCTAAGCCACGTGGCTTTTGACCAATGTAAAATAACAATTAACAAAGCTTATTTTTATAAAGGATATTTAAGTAGGCTGCACAAAATATAACATCATAAGTATCGCAAATTTAAAGCATATCGTTATTTTCAACATTACCTTTAAGCCGGTTCGCCAATTCCTTTGAAAACAGCACGTTGGCTAGTTTACTCTGACAGTACGCGAAGGCGGAGAAGTAAGTGCGTTTTTCGTAATTGATATCGTCGAAATTAATGTTCCCAACTATAAAAATTAAAAAACAAAACATACTTAAGTATGCTTAAGTGCGTCAGCCTATGTATATATTATTTGTTTTGCATGAATTTATAGAGAAAAACCAAATACGTAGATTGGTTTAAAAATCAAGATGTCACCATATCATTGTATACTCTTTCAGGAACTGGAAACTCCCATAAACGATTATACGTTTATTCTAAATTTTTTAACTTTCCTTCTATAAACCATTGCATTTTGGAGTTGCCTACCTAAATACGCCGACTACAGTCAATATGTTCACTTCTCATGGGGACTATTAGTTATTACGTTGTATTAATATAGGTATTGAAAATATAATTCAACTTGCATATGTGAGCTAACGATCCAACGTTGACTATACGAGCAGGTGCCGAATTCAGTATTTTCGGCAACAGAAGTAAGGTAAGCAAAAAGTGTCCCATGTGATTCACTCCGAAATGAGTTTCGAAATCTTCTTTGGTCTTGCTTTTTGGGCACATCATCACACCTGAAATTTGTCAAACTACGGTGTTAGACATATGTGTAGGACAAGGAACTGTGTTATAATAACTAACTTCACGGGGGGGGGGGGGCTTAGCATCCCCAAAACTGTTCGAGTTATATTGAATTAGTGTGTAAGATCAACTCACCGGCGTTGTTGACGAGTAGATTGATTTGGGTTTCTTTTTCCAATATTCTTTTAGCGCAACGTTTGATGGAAGCGAACGACGATAGATCCAACTCTTCGACGACCAACTGGCCCAATTTTTCGCCTTTTACTTCTCCAACGATATCATCCACGGCTTGTTTGGCCTTATTGACGTCCCGACAAGCCATTATGACTTTTGCGCCTGGAATTTGTCAATACAACAATAAAAGTGTTAAATAAAAGGAAGGTTAACAAAAAAAATCCGCATTGTTTTTCTCGTAGAAACTAAGTATGACATTAACTCATTTACTTTCATATATTTTTTTGGTATAAGTGTACTTTACCGGGCACCCTTTTTTTCGATTTTTTTTTTTTTTTTAATCGATATTACGTTTAATGCTGATGAAATTTTGCTAATGAATTTTTTGCCGGACGAACTTAGTTTCGGAGTTACAGACGTTTAAAGTTCGCGATTACGGCCGGCCGCCGGGTCTATCCAAATTTAGTATAAAAATAAATGAGACAATTTCAAAATTGTCTCTTTTGCCGGGCGCGGTATGCAGGGGGAAATGGAAAACGGCGGGGGTTTATCGTTGCGCTATGAGACATGTCTCACCGACCGCCGTTCATATTATTAGTTTTGGTAGACGGTATCAGTTATCCGTTATCGATGTACGTCGTGTTGTCTACGTTTTCAAATATGCCTATGCCATTTAGTTTATTAGTTTTTGAACATTTATTTTTTACAGTATAGATAAAATAAAATATACAGGGGATCCAAGGGGGCGCAGTCCCCCTGTCAAGTCACGTAACACCATTTTTTTTCAATGCCTCCCCGATCTAAAGACCCATGCCTCGCCACTGTTAATATCATACCATGTTTTACTTAAATTTAAAACTGTGACCTCCTCCTAGACTGTAGCCTGCAAACCTAGGATATTTTTGGTTTAGCGCAGCGAAGCGAGTGCCAAAATACTCGGTGACCTGCCGTCCTTATTCGCGATTTTAAGTTAAATCAAGTAGAATATTAATATTTATACTATATTTCTGATCGCGTCGCCTTGCATTACGGGCGAGAACAGGTAGTCGACCCCGCTGTAACCGTGTTATTGTATAGTGCGCGCCCGGCCGTAATCGCGAACTTAAAACGTCTGTAACTCTGAAACTAAGTTCGTCCGGCAAAAAATTCATTAGCGAAATTTCATCAGCATTAAACGTAATATCGATTAAAAAAAAAAAAAAAACGAAAAAAAAGGGTGCCCGGTAAAGTACATATGTTCCATTTTTTTTATTTTGCAATAAAGTTAACTGTTGAAAGTTGTAAATTACTGTAACGTTAAAAATAAATAATAAACTTATTAAAAGTCCATCAGCAATTAATATATATTTAATGGTAGAACTTAGAAAGAAACAACAATGGACGATTAATTAAGTACGTCTTTGCTATTTTTATTAAATTATTTATTTGCTTTTGACCGGACTTTTAAAATTTGAAACTTCTCAGAAGCTCGCAGTGACCAATAGTAATGGCCAAGGGTTGGCAAACGATTTATGTATTCATAATTTATATCTTAACAGCAAAAACATTATAAAAAATCGGCTTTTATTATTTTTTAAGATTACCAGAATGTTTTTAAAATGTTTGTCTAACATAATAATACAAAAATTTTACCTAGAAATCAGACACAAATAAAATAATTGATCCAATGGGTCCATTAGTTATGTTTAAACGAGTCAAAATAGTTTAAATATAAATACAGCATGATGTATCAAATTTCAAATGATTATAATACAATGTTTGCAGGCTAATGACCTTTGGCTTAATACAATATATATAATATTATATAACTATTCCAATGAAATACCTATACAGACTTAGATATTAGTATCTAAACAAACTGTAAAAAATGAAACATTATAAACAAAATTAGATTCCTATTTTCTATACCTATTATTCATAATATAATGTAGAACAAAATGCATTTATTTCAAAAATCAAGTAGGTGTGTTTCCAGTTTAGCTTAAAATTAAGTTTAGTTTTACAATATTAAAATTATAAAAGGCTAAACAGTACTTCATTTTTAACTTAATTAGCGAGAGCGGTAATTAGCGTAATTATGTGTGTGCATACAAATATGCGTTTTACTTTATTATAAAACCAGTAAAATCATATGTTTTATAAAAAGAGTAGAAAAAAAAGAAGTACTTAATATTTGAAAATCTTGTAAAAAGTACATTACAATAATTATAAACTTTAAACGTGCAATTTATTTTGGTTGCCATATTTTAGTGTCTGAATAACCAAGTGATAAACCGACCTAGAATTAAATAACCAGTTTTCAGTATTGTTGGTATCAAGGTGAATCAAAATAGTACATATTTATTTTTGGTCGTATTCAAGGATAATGTATAGCTAACGCCAAGCATATGTGAGGTGATTTGAAGCCAAACAAATTTTAATAAGTACTTAATTTATAATTCATGTTTAGAGGTAATACGTATGAATAGTTTAAACGTCAAGAGTGTTATTATTGTAAAGAAAAGGAAACAATGTATACAGTATAATCAAAAGAAAACGTTTTTAATAATACATTTTATGTGTTTGCATAAAAGGTCGTTTCCCTAACATCGCCATAGAGACGGTGAAAAAAAGTGAATATTGAACAATGTTTAACTTGTGTAAATTTTAAACTTAAAGTGTAAACTCTACAAAAGTGCAGAGTGGGCCCACCTTAACGCCCTATACTAAGAGCGCGACTGCTATTGTGCAAAATGCTTTTTTAAGAATTGCATAAAGCCCTTAAGTCGCTTTAAGAGGGGTGGCGTTTATTATATACAATACATTTTCATAATTTCCACCTTTGAACTATAATAATATAATATAATGATCGGCTTCTACTCGATAGTCGATCTCCTTGTTTTCGGTGTAGGTATTTATGTAGTGCCAATAAAACGTTTAATAATTAGAAACGATACATTTTAGGGCGATTTAATGCGTTTCATTAATAATAATTAATAACATACCTATACATACCTAGTGTAGGTTATAGTATGTCTGAATTTATACATAATAGAAGTGTAACGATCAATTATTTACTACGATGGACTAGCGTTCATCATAAGCAATTATATTTAAGACATTAAAAGGGTACCGTTAAAATGCATAGTGGAGCATAGCTGCTAGTCCTAAAGTAAAATTCCTCGAGTAGAAATCGTACCTGCGCTTAAAAATCTAAAAGGATAAGTGATTTTGTCTTAATGTAACATTAACATTTTTATGCACGTTTGTTTATCGAGTACTTAATCGGACAACAGACATGCCAATAATGGACGGAAATCTATTCATCCAAAATAAACCTACACCTTTTCGGCCACTTCAGTTTTACCATTAAACCGATAATAAAATATTTAGGAAGTAATGAATTAAAAAAAAAAAATATATATATATATATATATATTATAATTTAAAATTCCAAGGAAAGATTCTATGTCCTATTATTATATAACTAAAGTTTTTCTTTTTAAATAAAATACTAAAAACGAATAAATGTCAACATCATCTCGTTGATAATTTCTATGAATGTCTCTGCGATACGCTGTTAGTGGCATTAATAACAAACACAAAATATAGTTTTAACAAAATAAACGCATACGCAACGATAGCGGTACTGAACTTTGTTCTTGCATTTCAAACCATTATCAGTTGACCGGCGGGAAACAATTTCCCATCGGGCTTAATTGAATATCATAAATCATTATTAAGGTTATATAAACGAGGAGTATTCACATGTAATTATATTTTTTACTGCTGCATACTTTTAATATATATTTATTAATTGGTGCTCAAATATTTTATTATTGGTTTAGCGTTTAAATTGGTGAGGCCGGAAAGAGAATCGCAGTTACCGGTTTTTGGCCGAAAAAGTGGTGCCGCCTCCAATAAAATCGCTTTGAGCATGAAGTAATTTTTTTTACTTCTAATAATTTCAAAAGCTTTTAAGGCGGGGACAGCTCGGACCTCGATGGCTTATTTTCAAACTTTTTCGGATGGAGGGTCAAAATGATGAAAACCGTAAAATAACTAACAATATTATCAAATGAAGGGCGTTAAGGGGTGGAATCAGCCATGCCATAAATCTCTGTTTGGGAATAATTTGATTTTGTACAGTTTTTTTTTTGAATGCATATCATTCTGTTAATATTTGAAACATTATCAAACAGCGACACAATCAAACTTTTTATTGTGCATTTTGCAAAATGCACAATAAGACATTTTCTATCAAGTAGTATCGAAATGTCATTTTTCATGTTTTTGTTGGACGGTTGCTCTCTGCATAATGCCATAATTTACTTGTATTAATTCTTGTATCTCGGGAAGTTCAGTGACCAATATCTCTGGACCCACCCCGTTAATACGCCCCGGGCGGCAGGAACTATGTCAACCCTTACCTAATTTGTAGAATTCTCTAGCCGTGATTTTTCCTATTCCAGTGTTGCAGCCGGTTATCACAGCTACTTTGTCGTCCAACCTCGCCTTGCTCTGGCATTTGACGCTGAACATTGTTAAAACTATAAGTATTTAAATTGAAACGAACAAAAAAACCAACTTTTCAGGAAGTCGACAATTTCCTCGGACACTCGACGTTTACACGGTGAACCTCTCAGTACGACTGGACGCCATACACCATATTTGATATTATTCGTCTGTACTACGTGCACCGTAGACAATTACTTCTCTGTGCCGTCTCAAGGTTAACCATCGACCGGCACTACCTCCTTTTATCGACAATATTGGACAATATTCATCTGAAGAGAGCTGGGAGGGAAGGGGGAATAAGATGGCAAACCGTTACCTTTACCCATACAGGCTTACAAAGTCGTCTAAACACAGAAACCCTCTGGATCTAATAAACGAATTATTTAAGAGACAACCGCGATTGAGCATAACACTTTTTCTAAAATCGTAATATTATTTACTAATTTTTTTAAAAAGGAGGAGGACTCGTAGCCCAAGCCCTTGTAGGTTTGTGTCTCGTGAAAAATGTCATCCCACTTCGGAACCGATTCTAAATTATCACGCAATTTATTTTCCTATTTATATATTTTATCAATGATCACCGGCCATTCGTTCATTACCATAAATCTTAATAACGTTAAGTTCATAGTTCTTACGTGGAACATGAAGGTATTTCAAACGCTACCTATATACTGACTACTATACAACCACATGCGTACAGATGGCCATGTTTTACTGAACGTGGAATGTCATATTAATATAATATGTAAATACAGGCTTGATCACCATGGCAATAAACGTGTTTAGAATACGGGAACTAAAAACTGAAGTATTACAAAACGTATGATAAGTAAAATATACTGCAAAAGAATAATTGTTTTATATTATTTTAAACTTTTATATAATAACAAAATATACTTGGAATTGGTTGATTCAATCGTTTAATTTAAAAGAAAAATCTACATTTATGGATAATAATAATATATATATATATATGGGGCATTCTGAGTCAAATCACGCGGTCATCGGCCTGACCTCCTCAAATTTTTTTTTCAAACTTCCTTTAGTCTAATATAAGACCTTTATTTTTTGGAAATTTTTATCACTAATTTTTGCCCCAAAAATAGAGGTTTTTTTAAGTTATTTTTCAAAAAAAATCGATTTCGACCAGTTTTAAATTTTTTAAATTTTTATCATAAAATCAAATCTTTTAGTCTAATAACGGGAGTGGGCCCGTTATTTCAATTTTATTTTCAACAAAAATTTTTTTTTTCAAGATCTGAAAAAAAATTTTTTAATTTCAGTTTCTTATTAAAAAAATAAAACATGTCATGGTAAATTTTGATTTTTTGCATATTTTAGGAGTAAAAAGTGAAAAATGTTCCTTACGAATAACATTAAAAATAATACGCAAGGGCATAGTGTGGAGCCTGTGGGCGCAGTGGAGACCTCAGCTGCCACGCGTCATCTGAGGTTAAGCTGTGTCCGTTGCTGCTTGATCCAGGATGGGTGACCACCCGGGAAAATGTTTTTATTAAAAAAAAAAAAAATAAATCTCAGCCCACTCCAGTTATTAGACGAAAAGATTTGATTTAAGTCTCTGATTTTATGATAAAAATTTCAGAAATTTAAAACTGGTCGAAATCGATTTTTTTGAAAAATAACTTAAAAAACCTCTATTTTGGGGCAAAAATTAGTGATAAAAATTTCCCAAAAATAAGGGTATTATATTAGACTAAAAGAAGTTTGAAAAACAAATTTGAGGAGGTCAGAATGCCCCATATATAATACTGGTCTGTTTTTTTTATCAAACTTTCAACCATTATATTAATTTATTGAAAAACAAATTGAATAATTGTGGTTTTTGTTAAAATACGTTTGTCGGTTTAAAGTTATATTTTAAATACATTTATTTACCTGCAGTTTACGTTGCTGTATAATATTAGTTTATAATCAATGGTAATGTAGAATAAGTAGATATTATTTCTTTAGAATTTTAGATTATACTTATTGTTATAGTTGTTATATATTCTGGGGTTTGAATGTACTAAAATTGTATTTGAACAATTATAATTTACGACTTATGATAACTTATCTAATATATATTCAAATGTTTGTGGCAGGTCAGATATTGCGTGATGGGTGTTCAACCCCTCTTATTTTATATTGTAATAAGTTATATGGATATAAGTTATAACCCATTTATAAAAGGCCTTTAATGTGTGCTGCATACATAAAAAGTTTTAAATATTCATAGTTTTTGATTTGTCATTATGTTATGTTGAGTCTAATTTGTAGCTTACGGCTCTTACACTTATAAAACGGCAAAAAAATTAAGTATTTATAATTTTAAAATTGTAATTAGTTATTTTTAATTTGGTTATCATCTTTAAATATATTATAGTGCATGTATTTCATATTCACTAGTTAGATATTATTAACATGAATATTCGTCAGTAGGCATAGGTCCTATAACTAAATTATATCATTTAAAATTAGAAGGCTTCTAAACGAAAATTCGGGTCCAAAAAGTTAATGAAATCTCCGCCTATGATTACAGTGACGTTATCTCTATAAAATGAGTGATGACTTAATGATAATTACGCTTGTTGCTTGTTAGTAACTATATTTATAAGTTATAACATAAATGATAAACAAAATATAATTAATTTGTTCAAATAACACGTATAAGTTTTAAAATGATTGTGTGTTGTATTTAATCAAGGAAAAATACTTGTGGTTGTACAGTGAATAATAATATAAAAAAAACCTTAACCACAAAAAACAATACACTTAAGCGTATATTTTCGGTAACAATCCATCATCAGCGCTCACAACAGACTGAGACCGATTATGGGCAAACAACTGCCTTTACTTATGTAGAAGCTTTATACCGGAAGTGATGACTCATCATCAATACAGGTTTTTATAAACTTAAAATATTTGGTTAAGTCCTAGTTTAACAAATTGTTCATATTTTTTACATATCTATTGCTTCTCTAATATTAAGCTTTTTAGAACTATTTTCATTTTTAAGTAATTTTATTTTATTTTACTTATTTTTAAGCTATGATTAACTAATCTGGAATTTTATGTTACCAGAAGTAATTTGAATCTTTAGGGATGTACCTAAACGGGGGCGTTTTTTTGCGGTAAATCTCAAAATCTAAATTATTGTCGATTCTTTTAATTATTAAATCAAGAAGAGGTCATTTTCATAGATTTGTATTTCATACATAATGGAAGGATAATGAAAATTTGTGTCTCGAAGGAAAACTTATAATATTGAAATCCTTTTCTACTATAACTAAAATGTCATCTTCATACCTAGACCAAATTTTCGGAAAATTTTGTCTAATTCAAACTGTCCGATCTCTTTTTTTTCTAGCTTTGTCATTTGTTTTCTAATAAACGCTTCTTTCTCGCACATTTTCTTAAGGGGGCTCCATACAGACCATTTTTTTCATTCAAAACACATAATTTTCATTCCATCGCACAGGCCTAACGAGTGATCCGATAAGCAATCTAAAAACAGATTTGAATTTGTCATGAAGTTTACTTAGGATCGGTCGAGGCACTTTTTTCAATTTTTAATTTTAACCCTTTCTAAATTTTATTTAAAATGTTGAAATTTTATAAAATGTTCAAACGTGTTTTATACATAGTAGGAATAATATATCAAAAAAGTACGTCGACCGATCTCAAGTAAATTTCATGACGAATTCAAATCTGTTTTTATATTACTTATCGGATCACTGGTTGAGCCTGTGGGATGGAACAAAAAATGTATATTATATTAACTAAAATGGCTTTTACTCATAGACAAAATGATTTAAATTAAAAATAATACCTTGAAGCTTATACAAATTAACCGGTAAATTTATTGACATGGTCGAAATTTATTTAAACCAATTTTTTCATAAATATTGCCTATACAAAACTCCTTAAAAATGGTCCGCATGGAGCCCCCTTAATAATTTACTTCTAAATTTTATATACGTTTCAGATTGATTTCAAGTAGCACATCAACAAAGTTATAAATATTTGGAAGGCTAGTATAGAATGAACCGTTTAATTTTGAATGAAAACTTTCACAGCTGTTTGTGGTACGGTTGTATAGCTGCCAGTAAACTATGCCCAAATGTTGGGGGGGGAACGTCGCGTCTGGTGAAATGTAGTTAAACTAATTAAATACTATAAGATATTGAGTGGATCTCTTTAAAAAAATCATCCTGTATAACTAAATTGGTGATAAAAGTTTTAAGATAAAAAAGATTGCACGGGCCGCAACTCATACGTCCATCGAAAATTGCCGGGCCGCAATTCACCGGTCTCCAACATTGTAAACAACACCTCGGGCCGCAACTCACCTACAGCCAAATTTACACCTTTTTACCTACAATACAAAATATCCTTTGCTCTATTGATGTACAATTATCATTAAATAAAGTATAAAAACGAACCAACTGTTGGCTATTTATTTTATTATTCCTTTAGAGGTTTTAATTTTAATTATGTTTTGTGACACTTTATCATCATTTTTTTGTGGTATTTTTTAGCCACTCAATTGTAGTTTTTTTTTTATGATTATAAAATATGGCCGTTTAAAATAGAGCCGAAGATTCTACACGTGTATTTTAAATACACGTGTAGGACAAGGTTCGTGTAGTTCGAACTGACGTGTAGAAGTTCGTGTATTTAATACACGTGTAGGACCCGAGATTCAACTAACTTGATCCAATGGCTATAATACTTTATCTTAGTGACAACCATTAATTAAAGAATAGTATCACGTAAAATTAGAAGTCTTATAAAAACATACAGTTGTAAGAATACGTGTAGTTGCAGGTACACGTGTACTTATAACTACACGAACTTCTACACGTGTTTATAATTACACGAACTTCTACACGTCAATTCGAACTACACGTATTACACGTGTATTTACTTACACATATTGTAATCGGTAGCTCTAGTTTAGAAGTTGGAGTAAAGCCAAACGAACTACAATTATTACAATATGGAAAATATGAAATATATTATTTTTTTTTACGATATCGCGGGTTCACAATTGTTTGGAATATTCGTTTGTGTATAAGTATATATATAAACCTATATGCTGTAGGTATATGTCATATATATATAAATTACGTATTAGTATATGCAGTTAATTACACGGGAAATCACACATTTTATTTCGTTAAGAGTTAATTTAATTACTAGTGTGTTTGTTAGTATATTACCTATTTACTAACAAAAATATATAATATATTACTATTAAGAAAATTACATGGCAATCAACACTTTGTCAACAATTTAATTCTATAAAAAACTTGTACGACGTTAATTTTTTGTTTTGATAAGTTTTGTATTCATTACCAAATCTTCTACGATGAAACATCTGTATTGTCTGTATTTATTAATATATTCTCAGTGGAACAGATTACGGTGCACGAACGGAAATCGGACGGTGGTCAAGTGCTGTAGTCGAATGAGCAGCGAGTTATCGACAAATATGGTTTTCTTTTTTGCGTTTACTAAAACACCTCCGGCGTGGTTTTCCGGTAAGGTGATGTCAGGGTCTACTTTAATGGTCACTTCCAACCCGGTCATTTTTTGGTAATTTTTTTCGAGAGAGGCCAGGAAAGTTTGGACGAGTTTCACGTCCTTTTGGCGTAACACCAAGTTCACTCGCTTTTCCAGCAACTGTGAATAGAACAACCACATAGACAGTTCCATAAAGTTCTCAGGTAATTAAGTTATTCTGTAAGTGTCAACAGATAAGGCAACTCCAAGGGCAGGCAAAAACAATTAACCGTAAAGTTCCCAATCTAGCATGCAACTTGTTGAATTTCGCCACTATGGAGGTAATCGGGAAAAAGCAGTAACTCGATAGTTTTTAAAATTAAGTTTGCTATATAGTCACCGTCACAGTTCTTCTTTGGGACATAATTCTTTCGGTCGTCCAAAAATTTCGATGATATCATAAGTTAGCCCATGTAAAAAAGTAGGTGGTTTTGGTGGTAGAGTAAAAATATTATTCACAATAGTTGGTAAAGTAATATGGGCTTTTAAATAAAAAAATTTCCAGAAATAATATATAAATTGCAGAATCATGTGAAGCTGTGAAATTACCAAAAAATTATGGAATTATATGATTACTCGGCATAAGGATTGCATTATCAGAGACTCGAGGATAGATGTGTACTTCTTGCTGTTGTTTTGCAACCCGAGCAGTCGTTCGTAAACTTCGTCCACCAACTCTTTGACGTGGTCGTTCTTAGCATTTAGTATTCGCATTTTACCCTCATGCGCCATCGCACTTATTGCGCTGTAAATAAATAACAACCCGTTAAAAAAAGGCTCGTGCACAACACACACGGTACGGTTTGTTGGCGCTTCAAGCCTACTGTACAATCAAATGCCAAAAGAAATGTTCTTCGGTTATAATTTCTAACACGAATCTGTTAGGTTAGGTTTCAGACACTCGCCTGACGGTCTCCTTTTCCAACTGTACGATCTTGTCCTTGTAATATCGGTCGACGTTCTCCCGGCCTTTACTCAGTATAATGGCCGCGCTGCTGTCGCTAAGTCCTTCGTTGTAGATTTCCCTGACCTGAGCATCGGATTCCTTGTTGATGTGCTCTATCATTTGCTGTATCCTGGCTTCGGCTTCCATGTCGTCGAGGCTGGTCAGGAACGGCGAGAATCGATCAGACATTTTGACGGTATGAAAAATATCGCATGCGCTTAATTACTTAACCAACACAACGCCAAAGCGGTCGCTAAGTAACGTCGAATTATTTCCTACTCTCAGCAACATCAATCAATTTCTCGATGTATATATGGTGATAATAATAATAATAATAATAATAATGATAATTCGGCTTTTCCGCGATTTATCGCCATTAGTCATAATTTCGCCCGCTCGTTCCCTATCGGATGATGTCATTGATGCAATCCGCGGCGTAACCGACTGCTGCTGTTTAGAGTACAGTACTCATAATAATAATAATAAAGAGGAGAGATGACTAATAGCCGGCACAAAGGGTAAAAAAGTGTATGAATGGGTGAACGCCGCACGCTCGCACGGTTGTTTGGAAAGGGATTTTTGGTTTGACTCATCATCTCCCCCATTTGGCGCAGACCCCCTTGGCGAGTACGGCGCACCGGGCTGTAAACGCAGGATTAAAACCTGTCGAGAATCAATCGCCGGCGACCGACGCCCAAATCCGCTGTGGAAACACTTTGAGGGCCAATAAACAATACAGGAACGAGGGAAAACAACTAGTTGTCAACGGGTAAACGACAATAGTGCGGCTGGAGGCGCAAACAATACTCGGATCCTTGTCCTACACGTCTTGCATTTACAGCTGTTAGTACAATTACATGATAGGAAAACCATATCTCGTGAGATAAGTAATTATTCCTCGGCCTCTGTGACGAAATGACTCCGACGCGACGCGACGAGAGACATTAACCACTCGAAATGGGTTGGCGTTCACATGGATTAGTAAATCAACTAATGCAAATCAAAAGAGTAAATGATTTTCTATTTGAAAATTTCTAGGGGGAACAAAACAAAAATTTTACCTTCATAAAATCATTCAAATAAATTTTCAAAACAAATAACTCGTTAGTATATAGCCGTATATATTAGTTTTGTTAATACTTAATACCCATTTTATGTACCTAGAGTTTGTAGATAACTAAATTTAAAATATTCACTAAAAAAGTTACTCACGTGTCAAAACTGATTGATAAAAATCTATAAAATTTACAATGTATTTTAAATAAAAAATTTTATCGTTTTTCTCATTTAAAACTTTTTTTACATAATTTGTTTTTATTATATTTTTATTTGGCCCTATTTTGTTTATTACTAGTGTATATTTTCAAGACTTGAAAATATTAATATTTATTGTTTTTTGCAAACCTGGAGTTTTAAAGTTCTATCCTCAATTTCCAATGTCGTACACCTACATCAAAATTGCGTATTATATCAAAAATAATTTTTTTTAGGAATGTTGAAAAAACTTCTTTTTTGAGATAATACAGTTTTGATGTAGGTGTGCGATATGTTCTTATGGTTTATCTTTAATTAATGTATTTATTACACGAGTAAAGTTAGGATGGCGAGCCTACCTATAGCAACCTTAAAATTGTATTTTCCCAATCTATGGCCACCTCATTTTATATTCAAATTTCTTAATTAGTATTGTCTTATGAATGATGGCGGGTAACTATACAAAATTATAGCCATACTTCTCATAAAATAGTGAATCATGCTATACTCAATAAAAGTGAATGTGGCAGGTGTACAGGCCATATATTGAGGTCTTTGCTCTGGAAAAAAGTATCTTTGAGAATGGCGTATAATCAAAAAATTGTTTTTTAAAAAAGTACCATTTGGTTCTCGACACTTGGGATATAATTACTAATGGCAGCTAAATTTAGTTTGTACGTATTTATGATGTCTTATGCGAGATTCGTAATATATATTATATTAGCAACTAGCGGTCAATCGACACACACACGGTAGTGTATCGACAACACACACCTAGACCAATCAATGTAGGATATTTTATTATGTGTGATAAATTGTTTCCGGATCGATTACACCGTAGCAGCGAGGTTACTCGCAACAACATAATAATAACATTATTACAATCATTTATCTGTCGACAATCAAAACATCCGATTCCCGCCTACGCCGGGCCCTTTTTCATCAACCATTATCAACGCTCCAAGCCGGACGTCCACTTCCCGTCCAGCACTTCCTGCGCCTGAAGATTTTTAACTGCACATAAAAGCCTTGGGCGAAGAGAACTGCGGTTGTAAATAATCAAAAAAAAAGTACACGTCGTTTCATTATACATATATTATCATTATTATTATATATTTGTATTCTGATGGTAAAATATAAAATACAAATCACTACATTGACTCGAACTTAAAAAAATAGTAATAATAATAAGTTGGGATACATCATAATTCTAATATCTATAAACACAGCCTTTAATTTTTGTTAAAAAAAAAGATATATATGTACACACTTGCTTTCTTCTTTTTTACTTCTCGACAATGACAATATTAACGTATATATTATAATAATAATGGTGTGATTAAAAAAAAAAATTATAATAATAGTCTCAGCGGTATATTTTATGTACAATTTGCAAGACTAGATAATGCTCGTTTTTCTCGAATCGTGTCAAGTCTACCATTGTGTCCAACTGAAGACTTCTCTTGAGTTTTCTAATGGAGAATGGGGGGGGGAGGGGTGTACAGTACATTTATATAGTTATGTTATCATCGTAATATATAATATTTCCGCATTTACTTTCTTGTACATTCGTTAAAAACATTTTTTTTGCCTTTTTTTTATTAGTTATTTTACAAATTTGCGCGTGAGAGGATGATATATATATATATATATATATTTATATAATATTATTACATTAACTAATTTATAGGAACACATTAATAGGTTGGAATATCTCGATGCAGTTTTATCTTAACATGCCCTAAGCGGGGACGATACCTTGTCTCTGTCCTGTTGTATACATATCATATAATTTATACATATATATGTATACATACATATATGTATAAATATATATTATAAAAAAACACACACAAACGCGAACCCGGCCCCTCCCGGGCGCATTCCCAAGGGAGGGTGGGAGGTAGCGGCGGCGGCGGCTTATCATGTACTGCATCCAGGCGACAGTTCGTCTGCCGCGGACTGTTGTTGGGCGGCCGCCCAAGACTGGCCGCACCTGGGCTGGTGCTGTTGCTGCTGTTCGTACTGCTGCAGACTCTGCTCCAGTTCCAGGAGTTGACCCATAAAGTTAAGATTGGGCGAGATGATGGGCCGGGCCGCCTTGACCGTCTTGTACGCGTCTACCATCGACAACTTGTGGTGGCGCATCACGTACGCTATGGCTATAGTCGGCGAACGGGATATGCCGGCCTGACAGTGGATCAGCACGCTTCCGCCAGTTTTCCTAGCACCTTCTGCAAAACAAAATTTTTAAAAATAAATTAAAACCAGTCAAATATAGCTCTGAAGTGACGTTTTTAATTTCTACCGACATTCTGAACCAGACTTAAACAATTTTTTCGTACAGAAAATATAGAAATCACTTTACACACTTTACGCGACCCCGTTGCCGTTTCGTAGTGTGTGTACACAATATTTGTATTGTATCGTACCGAATACAGGCGTACACAATTGGAACGGCGGTATTCTCGTTTAATCCCGAATCAATATTGATGGAGCTCGAACAGCCGCTCTCGGCCATCTGTACATAAACATTTAAAAACGGTTCCTACAAGTGACTCATCCGCGGTGTGTCGCCGTCACATCAATAACGGCGTTTTTGATACGAGCTGCGACTCGTGTTTGTGTGTGTATGTTTTGTATGGATAATTATAGCGGACCAACGGGCCAGAAATAAACGAGTCGCCCGAATTTGGTTAAAAGTATACCGCGGCCGTGGTCTGATCTGGTAGACGTCCAGAGTTTTTGAGATCGAACGCGCGTGTGGCGTCCGAACTGATAAATGGTTTTTTTTTTTATTTCGGCTTGGCTTGGCGCGCGTGTGTCTATTTCGGGAGCTACGCCGATGTTATATTATCAACACCGGATCGTAAAATTCTAATTCGGGACAAAAGGGATCCCACGGGCAAATTAATAGGCCTGGAAACAGGAGCTTCCGTGACGTCATCGTGGCGTTGTGCGGGTCCTACGACGGCCGCGGGTCACGTGTGCACGATGTATACACAAAAATAATATTACAGACACATTGTCTACATATAGGAATAGGGGCCTTGTCGGCGCCGAAAGGGGTTGTGCGACAATCACGGGGACAATAATTACCGAGTGTCGCGCGCATGAGTCATTTTTTAACCGAATTTCCAAAGAGGACAACACTTGAGTACACGGGTAGTGATTTCTATAATATGTTTTTGAAAAAAAACAACCTAACCCGTCAGGTCGTCTTGGTGTGAACAGCACTGCGTAGTACATACATGACTCACGGCGAGAGGTCGTGCGCCGATGAGCTATAAATGGGTAAACGCGACCGCGGCGTGCTCGTCCGGAGATCCGCTTATAGAGTGTGTTTACAGTGTACACCGTCTACAAACGTTTCCCCGTTAACTTGATGCGGTTCAAAGTAAGTATATGCCTATTGGTACACTCGAGTTGGAACCACCCCGTTCGGGCCTAATAGATTTCGGTAGTGAAGCTCTTTTTTTAAATACCGGTCGGACAAACGTTATTGTTGTTTCCACCGAAAAGGGCTGGAAGGGCTGCGACGGCGTTTCCGGACGGGAGGGACTAGTTTTCGAAAACAATACCAACAATGAAACTCGGTCAAACGGATGACGTCAACGAACGCGCGATACAGCTGTCGCGGTGTGACTCACAGCCCAAAATGGGGAGGTTCGGAACCGTTTTCCCGCTCTTTTCCATACACGTCCGCCGTTTTCCCCGTTCCAGAAACGATCGCATTACACGTAATATAAATGAGGTTGTATACACCAAACAAAACGATCACTATCGTTTAACGCGATTGACGGTTTGTGTGTAGTAAGCGCCGACCCGACGGGGAAGGTCGGGTGAGTAACACGGTTTAATAACGGCCAATAACAATAATACCTAACGGTAATATATAATATAATAATACCAATAATTGGTGCGTCGTTTAGCAGAGAAACTGCGGGATAATTGAATTACAAAACGCGGCATGTATAAATATATCGATGACGTAGTACACGGACGTATTAGGTGCAGTTTTCTTTTCTAATTTTACCAGAACTAATCTCCGGTAGCTAAAATCTGTGTGCAAGGATATATTATTTAGTTATCTGTCGGTATATACAGCTCGATTTCTCAAAAAATATGCACTTATGACACCCGTGCACAATGCCGTCGAATTATTATAGAAACGGTTTATCAATTTACCGATAAACTCGAAAGCTTCCTCGAAGTACTGTTTGAGGTTGGCGTGACCGTTGTCCAGGGCGGACAGCCTTTTGTACAGGATCCCTGCGGTCCGGTGGTCGCCGGCCTGAGGAGACGGAGACTGTTGACTGGTGGTAACGTTCAGCACTCGGGTGACTCCCATGGCGGAAAGACCTTCGTGGTCGTCAGCGTCCTTGCTGTTGCCCAAGTATAGGAAAGGCAACACTTTGGTCAGGGGATGTTGGTCCATCATCTCGCGGTTGGAGTCGGGTGGACAGCCGGCGTCCAGAGGCGACGGCAACAGAGAGTTGTCGCATAGGTCTTTGTGTCGCGAATGGAACTCCTTGTGACCACCTGCAAGACACACCGAGAAATAATTAATACCACCGTCAGATTTACCGGGGACTCGGACTCGATTATAGGCAGTACGGTACAAAATATCAACAATACCCCTACATCAATGTGATACCAATGAAAAAGAATTTGCAGCTAACTCGAAGGGACTTCACAGCCGACTCGGAAGGTCTGATGATAGGATGGATTAGACTTAATCGTCCGGGAAGAAACGCGCGCTAATTACAGCTAATTAATTGGCGAATGGCAGCCAACACAACGTCGGCAAGACAATTCGCGTTAATCTTAAATTAATAATATAGGTATGGGACGGCAATGGACGTGAGTCATTGCAAGAGCATTTCATCCAATGTACGCTGTTTGAATTAGAAACCAGTTCAATTCTTGAGCGTAAATAGTACCGCGAGTGGGCGACTCGTGTTTTGTAAACAATCTCGGATTCGGTAGTAAATCCGAAAAAATATTATAGAATGAAAACAAACCTAACGCGAATTAGAAAAAAAACAGTGATAATAACTTGCCAGTTTAGCATAAAACCACTTGCTATGGGCCACTGAATTTTGTCACCCAATTGTCACCGTGACGATACCATTTGATTGAAAAATCAAATAATACACTTTGTATAAATAAAAGTTCGTGTTTTTAAAACTACTTTCATTTTGTATTAGATTCTAAGTAGGTAATACTTTTAAATTATCACAACAATAATAATAGCAATAATAATAGTACAGGGGAAAATAATAATATTATTCGATAGAACTTAGATAAGAACTCTATAACCGCCTTTCCCTATTCGCAACATCCCAATTAGCTACACAACCCTGCAGAACATCATTTAAGACTTCACCGAAATTTTATTTGTATTTTGGACAATTTCAAAGATAAAAAAATGAACGCTACATCAACGACACTTCTTTGGTGAAATAGTGACACTCTGTTATACATTCCGAATTCTACATATTATTTGTAGAGTGGACACTTTAGTGTATATTTTGGCGTTTGAAACAAAAAACCGTGCTTGTAAACGGTAAACACGGACGATTAAATACAAAACACAATGGAGCGTTAGATTTCGAAAACAAAACAATAATAATAAAAACCTAAAACTGAGGACGACGGTGCGAAAAAATAATAAATAACGAAGGACAAGTACCTGAACGAGTTCTGCTCCATGTGGGGCAAGGGTCCAGAGAAAGCTTGAGTTTCAACGTTAATTTTTTATGTCCAATTGCGGCAGTCATATTTTTTATTTATTTTTTCTATTGCAGTAACGGTAATATACTACTAGGATAAAACAAAAACGTACATAAAACAAATAATACTGTATAAGCCTAGTGTTTTATTTTTGTCTATCCAATTACACGACACAAAAATGCGAACGAGCACGGCCAATCAGTCGGTAGTCCAAAAAATCGTACACGAAAAATGTTCATTTGAAAATAAAAATCCACTTAAGCGCCTGACAACACGGTTCGACGACAACTATGAGTCGAGTAACGAATCTGTGGCGGCGGCGAACGTCGCACGCGGTCCTCCGGAGCAGCCGGGCGATATAGAGAGCCGGTGGTGGGGAGGATCAACACATCATAATATATATGTACAAACATACATATATTATACTACTATTATTATTATTATTATACTGCCAAACCGGCTGCGGGTATCGTAACCTCTCGTATTAGTCATCCGACCTTGTCTCCCTCCGCCGCCGCTTCCGCCGCACGTACACCGTGAATGAGTGTGTATACAACCCCCGCGAGTAAGCCATCATAAACATACTATACACAACAAAGCCGGTTTTCTCATAGTATAATTATTTTAATAATAATAATATATTTAAAACATTTATAATAATACGCATTAGACGTTCGGGCCGGCTAATCGGAAACGATTCGATTTAACACCTCTCGTTTTGGGAAAATCTAACAAAAATCAACACCCTCACTTCCGGGCAATCATACTATGTGTATATACTATACTATATTATGTATCATATTGTGTAACCGCACGAACCCCGACCGGTAGCGGTTTGTCAAGATGATATTATTAAAAAAATGACAAGGACCCATATCAAGCCAGCTCAGAACTGTTTATTGTCTTCTGAGTCGGGGCTGGGCTCAGCAATTATCACGACTTAACGACTGAATCAAAAATCATTACCACTATAAATTGATGTTCAACAATTAATGGTTGTGGTACACACACAGCCAGCAAATTATAAAAGAAATACATATTTCAAAACTTTTCTAAAGATATGTTGTAAACGAACAAAGAACCGACAATGTTTGTAGTGTATTTAATGTATAAACAGTTAACATCCCTTATTAACAGTTAACTATCTTACAATTTAAACTGTGCAGTTAAAATAAAAAATTGAAAATTATTAACTATTTTATTAAATAAATATAATTTTACATTTGCCCGATTTGAAGCTATTTTTTTATTTTTCCATAAGCGGTTTAATACATTCAAATAATACTTCTACTTCATTTTAAAAATATAAACATTTTTTTTTCGCTATATGGAAATATAATATCCTAGTTAAAATTACAAAAAAGAATGGTCAATACTGCTATTATTTCCGACCTAATAGTGGGTCAGGTGGAGTGTAGAAACGAATTTAGCAATTGTTGATAAACGCTATTTTGTAAATAGTTATATACCTATTTACAAAATATTATAATATTATGTGAATAAAAAATCATAAAAGGATAATATTATCCTCTTTGCGGAATCCTTAAATGGACACCATAGTAGATATGTGTAATATTGTTGTTGTTATTTTCATTGTTACTATAATACATTTTTTTTGCGACTAATAATTTGTTTTTTTATTTTTTTTAGACCACTTCATGAATGATAAATGCTACATTTGTTGACGTCGCAGAACAAGCGGCGGCGTTACTTTTAAGACACGTCATCGACCATACGCATTACAATATTATTATTTGAGGGGTGTTGACCAATAATAATAAATAATTACTACTTTCGGCCGGTAAACATGTTTAGGTAAACAGTTTTTGTTTTTTATTCAAAATGGTTTACAAACGACGTCATTTCCAGCATAAAAAACAAAAATTACACAAGTATTTTTTCGATTAGGACCTAACCGACAGAGTCGGATTTCGCGATTCCAACTCCGGATGTTATACCGTTAAATTAATTCTAATGGCCAAGATCGTTTTCTGCTTAATCGACAACGATTGTTAAAAATAATCACCGTCAAAGACACGGTTTACACGGCAATTTTCGGTAACAATAATAATATTAACAATGTAAAAATGATTATGAATGAAATTTGCACTGTGCATGTTGTGGAAATTCGGACGATTATTCCGCAAGGTTAAAACCGCGCGTTAAAATCGATTATTTGTAACAATTAAAAGAAAAAAATTAATTATCAAAACCATCGACTTATCATAATATTTCGTAATAATATCTGTATTGCAATCGGCAGAATTTGGAATGCCCTTTGTTAAGTAGGAACATCTAACTATCTATATGTAAATGCAATTAATAATAATTAATGTAAATTTTTTTTTAGTTTTCATATTAAAAATTACAAATGCAGATTAGACACAAAAACCAAATGGAATTTATTAAAAACGTAACAAGTCATTGAATATTATTTTTTAAGTATTTGTAACGGTTTGAATGCGTCGTTAAGATAGTAAAATTACTAATATTGCTCCATTATGTTTAACATACTACATAGTACATTTATACAAATAACAAATAATACAGGTAATCACACGTTTTGTTGTCTTACGAGATGACTTTGTTTTTACCAAAATAACGACTTCGGCTCAAAAAATGGCTTTTTTGTTTCATTTGGAGATATTTTGTTGATGAATTATTGATTACTAATGTTACTAAATGTTTGGTATAAGTTAACCATTAAAGCAGAGCTATTGGACCTTGCAGAGGGCTATCCGAGCAAGTGCTTAAGTACATTAAAAAAGCCAAAAGCTTAATCAACGTATTCATTGCACTTGAGCGATTACGAATAAATACATAATTGTAAATAGTTGCATAATAGTACGGCCTATTTTCTAAGGTAGCAAATAAAAAGTAATATAATTGTTGGTCTGCGTAATTAAAAAAAAAAGATTGTGACAGTAATAAAAGGATTTGGGGAAAAAAAAGGATTTTTTTTTTAAATTCCAGTACTATCTGACAACGTGCGACCGATGCGATGGTCAGTAAACTAAAACTGCAAGTATAAAAATCAATTTATGTAATGTCTTGACGAACTAAAACGACAGTCTAGACCATAATATTTTGTACAGCATAATAATATTATAATATTTGAATTGTCTGTCAATTGGCGGCTGTGGCCGATAATCTATACGAATAGTTTTACAGCGCATATTTGTAAATAGTTCCGACGGTCTTTACATACTACTTACAGTATATTATATACATACGCGGAGCACATAATTATATTATGTCAATAATTGGAGCGAATAGTTTAGTGCGCGAGACACAGACAATTGATGGCATTTCGCGAAGAATGATTTTTTTTTTGTTTGACAAATGAAAATTTGTAAGCGGCGATTAGTATTACCATATTATATATATCAGAACGATTTTTGTTTTTATCGCTGGAAATTATTTTTGATGACCCAACGAGACAAATACCATAATACTACACATGTGATCAATATTATACTACTAAGAAAAGGTTTTTTTTTAAAGATACCACAATAATCGAACAGACCTTTAAATTCAACTGGCACTTCTTTATCGTGCGACTTGTAAACGATTTGGTGAGTCATTGAATATACATTAAACATATGATTATGAGCTGTCGGCAGACAAGTTGAACTACATACACAGAACATTCGGAATTTAAGAGTTCTAAAGTTTTAGAGTTTTCTACGGTACATATAATTGTATATAATACATGTTTCTTCTCGTGTGCAAAATCCGTGGTACAACAGCTATGACCGGTCACCGGCTAGTGTATAACATATATGTATATAAATATAAAAAATAGA